ATATTTCTATCACTAAATATTAATGTTTTCAATATACAATGTTATATACTAAATAATACCAGTATTTTATATATAAAAGTATATACACATACTCTATATATTGTATATGACTTATGTGTATGTTTTTATAAAAACATTTTAAATATATTTTGTTTGGGTCTATGTTTTGCATTTCTGTTTGTATTATAAATATGTGAAACACAAGTATTTTTTATTTCATTTTCTATTAACTTTTGTGGCAAACAATTTAAATGTTTTATTTTATCTCAAACTTTCATTTTGTATCTTAAATTATTGAATTGAAAATCAAATATAACTGCATTTTATTTTAGTTTTAACCGACTTTTTCAACTCATTTTCTCTTTTTATCTAATCTGTATACAGTCTACTGTCTATCTCATATAAACTGTATATATAGACAATATACTACAATTTTTTATATATTTTAGGTCTTTATATAATATTTGTTTTTTATAACAACCTATAGGGCTCTAAAACAAAAAACATAACTTTATAATAACAAAACTATCAAAATAAGAAAAGTTGTGAAAATGAGATAAATTGTTGATTTGTTGATGAAATTTCAAACAATAGAAATAAAAATTATATACGTTTTTATATAAACTTTGAGATTTCATGAAATTAGAAGTTAAATAATTAAAATCTTAGAGTATAACAGCAAAAACATTATTTAATTATTTTAATTGTTACGTTAAAACGATTAAATTATTTGATTTAGTTAATCAATATGGTTACGAATTTTGTCTACATTACTAAACTATCAATAAATGACAAAATTTTAAATTATATTAATATAAATCATCATTAAATAAACTCATATCCAAAAAAATAAATACTAGATATTCATTATTCAAACAAAATAAAATTATAAAATATTTACAATTTGATAATACAATACGGTATATGCAATACAAATGACATTTCAATGATAAAAAAAATAAATTGATAAAATATCAGTATATTTATTATATTTTAAAAATTATATCGTCATTAAGTATTATTAATGTTGTTATAGATAAACTATTAAAATGATTTGTTTGACTTATTTTGCTTTATCGGTAGTTTTTTAAAGGCAAATAAAACAGACACAAAATAAAATAAATTCATGTCATTTCTTTAAATTATAAAATCAGATTTACTCAATTGTAAACTTGTTTTTTCCAAAGTTGAACACAACATTTAATATTATAAAAATAGGATTGCATTGTATTTTTTTTATATAATACATTGAATATTATGTTGTGTTATATATAAAATGTTATGTTATGTACTGTAATGAAGTGTCCTTTAAGTTATTCAAACATTACATTACATAGAATCACATCATAACATTAGAGACATTATAAGCTTTATTACAACAATACTGTAGTACAGTATATAAGTACAGTATAATAGTGTATATAAATTTATAAAAGTGATGTACACTATTAAAAACAAATTTTGTAATGATTTAAAATAAAAATTTTATGCTTCTGTTAGCAATGATTTTTTTTATGTTTTTCTACAAAAAATATTGTGTGACTTTTTTATGTGTAAAAAGACATTTTAGAGTAGAGTACATGAATATAAGCAAAACTAGATTATATCGCATTTAAGATCTATGAGTTGATTTTAAAAGATTACATTTGTTTTTTAAATAAACAAATGTTTTTTTTGTTGTATATTAATATTGTTTTATTATAGTCTTGTTATATTGTTGTTTGACTATTATTGTGATATAATTTATTAATTATTTATATGTAATTTAAATATTATTCAAATAGATAGTAATAAGTCATTATTTAATAAACTATAAATAATTTATATAAAGTAATTATATTTAAAATTTAAATTATTTCAGTAAATTCTTAATTTATAAAACCAAAATCATTATTGAGCTTTATTTTTGATATAATAATAAATAATTATTATTATTATATATTATTTACCATTAAAATATTTGAATGATATTTTATATTTTTGTATAAACATCAAAACAAAAAAAAAGAAACAAAACATATGAAATTTCAATCAAAATTATTAAATAAAATAAAGAAAAATGTTTTGACTATATATTAAATACAATAGTAAATTTATTACATTTTTAGTTTGACATTTTTTTATATATTACATTATTTTTAAAAAGTTATTTAATAAAATATATTAGTTTTTTGACTGTTTCAGTAATACTGAATTGTGTGTTTGTGTGTTATTTTTTATATAAATATTGTTTTGTAATATTTAAGTAGTATAAAGGTATCCACGTTTTTATATAATATAGCAAATTTATACAGTAGATAATATATCTATAAAATTATATTATACAGTTTTATAGCATAAAAATATATAATTTAGATATCAAATAAATTGCATATAAGATTGTATTTTATTTTTTTAGTTTCGTATTATATATCGTATTATAATATATTTCCTAATATCTATCGTATAAACATATAACTAATGAACCGGTAATTGTGATATTTGTTTATATTTGATCTAACAGTGCTTCTCAACTGTACATACAAACTAAATAGTATAGCAATTGGATTGCATATAATTTAATGCATATTAGTTGGATAATAGTTGAATAGTAGGAACATAAATAAATATCTAATAATAATCTATAAAAAGATAAGATCTTAAACTAAACTATGTCTATAACACAGTTCCCTCTCAATGCCTGGCATTTCAATGGACTGTCATTTAGTCAGACATTAGTTTTTATATTTTTCTCTATTATTAGATATCATGTCTACTTTCATATGAAGTACAAAAAATAAGAATAAAACAAATCGATTAAATGCTAGTAACCCTTATGGGGAATGTTAGTCTTATTTCCCTAACGGTGCTCTCTTATGTGTATTGATATACACAAACCTATGAAAAATTAGTCATTTGTTTTGCCCAAAACTTGCTATACGTGTGACCGATATATTAGTTTGCATTTCCCTAAAAATGTAAATAAATTTACTATAAATAAAAGTTGCGTACAAATTGACATTCAAGTTTTATTGAAATTATGAAACAAAAATTATTTATATTGAAATATATTTAATGGACTTTTTATATATTTTTCACAAACTAATAGATAATTTATTGTCTTATTGTAATTATTAGTAAAATACTAATAATAAATGTAATTAATTAACAAAATTAATGAATACAGGTATTACAGTATTAATCAAATATTGTATAACATATTTTGTATTATTATGTTAATTAAACTATAAAATAAAAATAATATTTAATAATACATGTCTTTTATAACATTTATAATAAATAGTAATAAAGGTTTTACGTTTTTATTTAGCTAAAAGTTTAATAAAAAACAATATATTGTATATAAAGCATAAATATATTTAATTAAATTATAATCATAATAGAAATTTTTAAAACAAAAAGCTTTAAAAATACAGATTATTTTATAAATTTTAATAATTCTCTATTTTATTCTAATTGATCATTAGGTTTGCTTTTATATATTTTTAATAAAAATAATACCAAAATTAAGATAATAGATAAAAGTAGTTATATTGATTGACCTGTTTTGTATGCTTTAGTGTTGCTTATAAATTATGTTAAAACATTTACTTATTTTTTTGTAATAATGTTTTTTATATAAATTTATATACAGTATATTGTATTAGATATTTATTTTTATACAATTAAAGCATATTAATGTTTGTTGCAATTCATTGTACTGTATATTAGATATAACAACTGTTCATTAAATATATGTAATATACTGTATGTGTAGTAATAGTGTTGATTTTGATGATTATATTTAACCAAAATGATTGTACTGTAATATACTATATTTCATTATTATGGATACTTTTTTATATTAATACAAATTATATAATAGCTTATAATAAAACTATTTAAGTTATGTTATGTATTCTAAAATATAAACGATATTTATTGATAACAATAAATAAATTCTATTTAAAATGTTTGAAAAACTAAATTTTTAAAAACTTTTGCTAATTTTCAAAAATCTTTTAATTAATATCACTTGAATACAAATAAGAAATTAGATAAATTGATAATATTTTTAAAATATTTAAAATTAAGAAAAAAATATTTTTATTTTTAGATTTGTTAATTTATTACTTTGAGTTGGAAGAGTTTTCATTTTTTAATTAAAACTATTTATCATTTTTAAATAAATCATTAAATAAAAACTTTATGTACATAAAAATGAATAACTTTTAATAATTATAATATTCCATTACATTTGATAAAATAATATTTGCTAAAATTTTCAATTTATTATACAATAAATATTTATGTTATTCATATTATTTTTTTATTAGCTTTCTAATCACATAAAAAAATTATATAAATAATTACAGTATTTTAATATTTTTCAATCATTTATATTTTTTGGTATAAATTTTAAATAATATTTACTAATATTTAATTATATACATTTTATGTAGAAAATCTAAATTAAGATTTTATTTTTGTTTGTTTTCTAAACATAATTCAAGGTATATGTAAAGTAAATTAGAAATAGCTATATATGTAATAAAAATAACAAAATTTTTAAATATAATTATTTTACAAAATAATACATTAATTGTGGGTTAACTCAAACAAAATATATTAAGCAGTTGTGGTGTTCACGGGTGGATCAAAAATATTATTTTTAATAAATTAATATTGAATATATTGATTATATAAAAAATAAAAAATATTAATATCAATCTTTTAATATTTTTAAGATAATAAAATATAATTTTATAGATAAGATTAAAATCTATTAACTGCTGTATATATGAAATATTGTATATTTAACATAAATATTTGTTTTAAAATAAAAGTATTAATTTATTATTTCATATTTTTATGCAATTTATTAATATACTGTATATACAGTATTATTATAAATTAAATATAAATCAAAAATATTGTATTTTTATAGAATGGCGAACACCTCTACTTCTATATAGTGTTTGTTAGAAGATTTGCCACAAAATCTAAACTTTTTTATTGATAAACAAAACGATAAAACTATGAATAATTCAACAGAAGATGTAATTTGTTATTACGACAACTCTTTAGCAAAGTATGTGATAATCAATAAGAAAACCGGTTTTTCCTCTTATCTCACAAAAGACAGATCTGAAAGACAAATGCAAATCAAAAGACATAAGACTGACAATCGGATTGGACTACAAATACATGAAAAAGACACGACTGATCCCAAAGAGGACAACAACTCARTGGATATCCAAAGGTTATTGAATACTAATCACGCATTCAATGGATGTCCACACGTGAAGACCAAATGGCAATTAAATGATTGTAATAATAATGATAGCACTGATAGACACACAAAGACATTGTTTAAAACAGAGTGGTCTTTAAGAGCTGATATGAGAGTCAATGAATCCATAAAATTAGACAATTATTTGGTGACTAAAGGCATGCTTCGAGTGATCGGACAAATGGACAAAAAGTTTATCATATGTCTGGACACCAATCGGAACCTATTGTTGGCCTTTGATCAGCACGCAGTCCAYGAAAGGATCAGATATGAAGTAATACTTAATAACTTGTATGACATCCATAAAAATGTTAAATCATATCCTTTATTGCCGCCAATTATTATCACAATACAAGATATTGATGACCAAAATGTCTTCAATGACTTGCAAAACAATTTTGAATTTTATCGCAAACAAATCAAACGAAAGACAGGATTTGAAGTGACAAAGAAGTCACCATTGATTGTAAATGCATATCAATTCTGTGTGACACAAGTGCCTCAATGTCTGTCCGATTCACTGGATATCCAAACAATTGGCGAAATTATCAAAGACTCACTAATTCTTATGAGACAACAATCGCAACGCATTGTTAAGTCAGACGATGAGAGTAGTTGTCCTAAACTCATACCTAAGCTAATGGAGAGATTGCAGACCAAAGCCTGTCGCGGAGCCATACGTTTTGGTGATGCTCTCAGACTTCACGATTGCAACAAATTGATTGACAAACTGTCCGATTGTAAGAACTGTTTCCGATGTGCTCACGGAAGACCATCAGTCACACCGTTAGCTTATATACCAAAGTTATCTTAACTTTACTACTAATCATAACTGTATTAATAATTATACATTTATTACTTTTATATGGATTATATAAGAAATGTTAATACAAAATAACTATTTCATACATATATAATGTATTATATAAATATTAGTTATATAATTATATTAGTAAAAGTATTGTAATACTGTAATATATACTGTATATATATATATTTATAAAATGATATTATATTGAATTATAACATTTTATTATCATAAGTGATGATCACTTTAAAAGTGATGCAATTGGTTGAAGTGGTCGCGACTCTTAAACATAGGACCCCACGGATTGTTTCCCTTTTGGTCATCCCTTTCCTTTTTGTCCTCTTTTTTGTAGCCAATCTTAATCTGCGAAGATTTACCATCAGTTCCCAGAGCTGAATCACGCCTAATATAATTTACATCATTAGTATATAATAAATAAAAATAGTAATTAATATTTGAATTACTTTTGCTTTTCCAATGATATTTCCTTTGATTTAGACATCTTTCTTGTGAATGTGTCGTACGGTTAGCAAACAAGTGATGATTTAATGCGATTAATGTCTTCAAAGACGTTAGTTTATTGCAAATAATTTGATTGATATGCTCTCTAAAAGCAGTTTTCTCTGGATTTTAAAAATAATTAAATTTAGTTTTTTTGCTATTTGATTGACAATGTCTTAAAATAGTTAAATTAAATCATAATGTCCTTACAGTTTGAGGATTTTAGTTTTGATGGCCAGTTGTGGGAGTCAATGGACGTGATGTAGTTGTGTGAGTACTTGAAGCTCCAGAATATTGCCACAGTTTCCCAGTCGACTGCCCAATGATGAGGTCAGGTTAACAATAATAGCGACTATCTTATGATAATATAGTGAAATTGGTTTGATTTCAAAGGTTGACATTAGTACATGACTAAACTCAATATATAGACAAACAAATAGGTATTATTGTTCAATAGTCCTAATGAGACAGCACTTGGAATCTACACTTTTTTGATCGGTCAGCACTCTTGAGATTTGCGATCAGAAAGTTTCAAATGATTGACAATCAATTGAAATCAACGTTTACTGGATTTACAAATAGATATTGATTTTTGGTATAACTACTGTTTCAATATATYTAATACTTAGATTTGTTTAATATGTATTCACAAAATAACTTTTACAACAAAATGACTGACTTTGATAGCGACAGCTTTTAAAATTGGCTTTGAATTCAAGTCAAACCTGAATTGAGAGGCACTGAGAGAAAGAAAGAAAGAAATAGAGAGATAAAGTGGGATAAATCTGGTTATTAATTGGGTGCTCAGCACTGGTGGCTTAAAATATATATAGTGGTTGTCAATGGTATGTATGTATACGTATGTGTCATAAACACCTTACTATTCCTGTGTGTGATCAGCACGTGGACAGTCAGACCAAATAGAGTGATATAATATTTATAAAAAATAAAGAGAGGACTTAGTTATCTGCAATAACATCAGTAATGCTGCAGTTTTGTTGTCGTTTAATATGAGGTCACCTTATAAGTGGATATTACTAGTTATGTATTAAATATAAATTTAATAATTTTCAGCTAAATGTTTAAAATCACGCCAAGGATTTTTGAAAATAAATTTTTGTCATTTTTTTGTTTATCAAAATTACTTACACTTTACATATAATATTGATAAATTTTATATTGAAAAATATTACTACATTATAATATAAAAAAAATATATATTTAGTAATAAAAATTGATTTTTAGTTAAACTATTAAATTACGTCAAATATATTCTACAATACTTGACAAGAATTAATTGCATTTTATTAAATTTTAGCTATAAATTTGTTTATCATAATAAATCAAAAATATTAACAATTCAAAATCTTATATATTGAATAATTAATAAAAAATTTTAATAATTATATAACATAACACTAAAAATATAAAACATTTATAATTAACTAAATATTGTAAGAAATAAATAATTATACAAACAATAGATAAATTATATAATTTCATAATGAAAATTATATATCAAAAACAATTTAGCAATTTTTTTAAAAAACAATTATTTTATGTTTATTACATTTTTTTTTAATTTTTTCTTTTCTTTTGATTTTGAGGTTTACGTGCTTTAGATCTCATAGTCTTTTGATTAACATTTTGTTGACGTCTTTGTCTTCTTCGATCAGAATTCAATGCTTATGTATAAAACAAAACAAAAATAAATGATAATTCATATTATTATTATATTATATAATAAAAATGTAAAACTTTGAGACCACCTCCAGTGCCGTCTCCATTGGATCCGCCATTAAATGCTGAAATGGCATTTGCAATAGCATTGAGTCCATTGACAAATTGGCCATTACATGACTGATCTTCATCTATGGTTTCACTGTTTGCAAATAAATTTGTATCCGATTGTGATATACTATATTTAGACTCGTTTTCAATCAATTGATTAGATATATATCTCGAGTCACACAAATGACATAAATATACAATCGTATGAATAGTAATATAAATGCTATAAATATTCATATCATTGTATTTTAACCACTGATTAATTTGATTAAAGTTTTGAAAGATTGAAATGATATTTTAAATTTTATAATTTTATAATGTATATTTATATACAGTTTATGCATTAAATTTATTTTTATTTACTGAACAATTGATGGGCAAAAATCTGTTCAGTGCAAACATGCAAAATATAATATTTATTTTTATTTGAATTTATTTATTTATTAATATATATAATAATATGTATGAAAATAAAATATTACATTATAATTTAACATTTACAGTATATCTTTATTACAATTAATTTTATTACAGTAATATTATAGTTGCCATACAAAAATTATTGAATTTTGACTAATATTGTATTAAATATTAATATAATCAAAATAATTGTACTCAAAAATTTGTCTTTCTATTTGGCACAATGCCATTAAATATTTGCATATATTAATTATAAATATTAATATTATATAAAAAATAAAAACATTAATTTTATTTATAATTTTATGTTTATAAAACTCTCCATTGATTCACTATAATGATAATCTTAATAATATTACTTTATATTTTATTAACATTGAAGTATTTATTATAAATTTACATATACTGTATATACAATTTGAATAAATTTAGTAATTCTTTGCATTTATAGATATTATTGATAAATATGAAACTTAAATGGCAAGTGTTTCTTATTAATGTCTATAATAAATATTATACAGGTAAATTAGTATCATAATTGTAATTACTAAAAATTTAATATAAACTATATCTAATTATATACTGTAAATATATTATATTTAAAATTATAATATAATTGATTCTTATTTATAAACTATAATTTTCTCTTTAAAACTTAATAATACATCTACTTTTTAAAATTTAATAATAATTATAGTAATATTATAATTATTATTATTATTAAAACTATAATTTCACTGATCTGTAATTACATAAAAACCCATTTCACGTATATTTTATGTCACATGAGAATAATATTGCATAACTACTGTATGTAACTATTTAATAGATATTTTGTAGTTTTTTTAATCACCCGTTTTTGTAAAAATTGAAAACTAAACATAAATATAGGTTTATATAAAATAAAATTCAAACAAATCCTATAATATCAAATTAAAATAATTGATAAAAATAAATATTTTAAATACTATTTTTAAAATAAATTTTATTATTATTGCCAAATCAATTTATTTTTTATATAATCAGTTAATATTGTCATCAAATATTTCAATCAATGTTTGTTTCCTCCCTTTCCTTTGCCTGGAGCTTGTTGTGTGCCATCTATTAAATTAGCAAATAATATCAATTTAATGAAATTGCAATCATTAATAATTGAGAATTCAATATAAAATTTAATCAATATTTGAATGTATTGTTACCTCCACCAGAACCAGAGCCCGAACCAGAACCAGAACCGCCTCCCTGTCCATCACATTGTTGGTCAGTATCAACGGCTCCCATATCACCTCCGGGAACGACAGCCGCGTAGCTAACAGTCGATACGATTAGTAAAACACAGAAAACAATAATCAGTTTCATGTTTTGAAAATTTTAATCAAACAATTTTTTTTATTCAAACTGAAACATTAACTAACATTTCAATCATCACTACTTTACTTATTTATATGATAACCAAATCAGTCTATTATTATTTAAACAGATAATTGCACTTTTTAATTGTTAATGCACTTACAKTAATCTACAATAATTAAACTAATTAATTATTTCAATTTTTATGTATTCATATGTTATTTTTAACAATTTTAAAATAGTTCTTAATAAATTATATATAATTATTAATAATTCTGAACTTTTTCAATTTCAATAAATTATTTTATTTAATCAACTGTCAAAATTTGCACAACTTAATTATTCTGATAATTTTATTAAATTAAAAACAAGTTRTTTTAAATAAATTAATAATTGATACAAAATTAGTCTATTATTTACATTATTATAACGCATAAAAATAATAGATTTACATTATTTTATTAAATGTTTTATTAGATATTTATTTTAATCTAAATTAATTAAGCTATAAAATATTGACAGTTGATTAAATAAAAATCAAATAACAATGTAATATGTAATATGCAATAATGCACAAAATAAAAACCCTGTATTTCATTTAATCATAACTTAACAATTAATAATTATATAAACTTTAAATTGTTATACTATTATTTTATTATTATTTCTTTTTATGGTCTAAATTATTTGCACATTAAAAATAATAGTGTGTTACATTATTTTATTAAATGTTTTATTAGATGTATTTAAACTTTTTAATCTAATCAGAATTTTAAAAGTTACTAATATATTAAGCTATAAAATATTGACAGTTGATTAAATAAAAAACAAATAACAATGTAATATGTAATATGCAAATAATGCACAAAATAAAAACCCTGAAATTTTTGTTTAAAAATGATAGCATTTTATAATTAAAGTATTATTTATTCATATTTCATGAATCATAACTTAACAATTGTATCATTTTTTAAATCTGTACAGATCTACATCTATATAAACTTTAAGTATTGTTATACCTGTATATCTAAACATTTTATTATTATTTCTTTTTATGGTCTAAATTATTTGCACATTAATTGCACTATAGTTATAGTATATTAATACAATGTGTGTTAACAAATTTTAATTTAATGTCTAATTATTTATTTACTATTAGTACCAAAGTAGTATAAATATTACATAATATATAAAATACTGTATTTATATATGATTTATTAAAACCAATATATATATATATAAACCGATAAACCAGTGATTGCCATAAGCTTTATAAAATATAATAACAATTATTGCATGATATATACTAGTACATATAAAACCAGTTGAGAATGCTAGAAAGCATTTCCATACGAACTCATTAACTCCCAAATGTATGAAATTAAAAAAAAWTTAAAAAAAATTAGTGTATCAGAACGTGGATTCGATTCTATGTCCTCGTGGGACACCGGACAGACAGACAGACTTATAGAATTCATATACGTACTCCTTTCAGGAGTTCGTTATGAGTAACTATAAGTTTATTTTACTCGTTGTTTGATAAAAATTTTCAAAATTATTATAAAAATTTGTTATGTTTTATACTATATGTTAGAAATTTATCAAAAATCTATGGCGTCGTTCAGATAAGAAGTCCATGAGTTTTAGGCATTTTTTTACCCCTTCCCAGACCCAGAACCGTCCGTTTTGACAAAAAACCCCTAAGTAAAGACATCCAAATTTGAGTACCCCCACATAATTATATATAAATAATACTTTAAAAATAAACAATAAATTATTTATAATATTAAAACTAAATACAAATTCTAAATATAAAATAAGAATTAAAAAATTGCACTTTCATTTATTTTAATAAATATTTATATTTACATATTAAAAATTATATAATAAAATAGCTATAATTATATAATTGTTAATTAATAACATATTTCTTTTATTTTATAATTTTTATACGTAAATATAATTTTTTAGAAATAAAAAATTGTTTTTTACACTGTCCATGCCCAAATTTTCATTAATTTTAAGGAAAAATTTGGTCGGAATTAATATTAATAGTTCAGAGTTAAAGAAAGTAGGTGTTAAGCCAAAATTATTTTATTTTTTAAAGTTTAGTTAAAATTTAAGTTATTAGTAATTTTTTTAAAAATATTTTGAAAAATAATGGGATTTATTGGGAATATCTACATATTTTCTGAGAATTTACATGGGAATAATCAGGAATTTTTATGAAATTTTCTCATGATCACTTCACTGATTTAAAAATGCAGTAAAACTCTATACCCAACCAATAAGATCTGTTAGTTTTAAATTGCTTAAAGATGTTTGCGCGAAATAAAACCATAAATATTGATATATTGATAATTATATTATTATTTATTCATTGAAAAAAATCAAATTAAAGTTTATAAAATTAAAACAAAACATAAATATTATTATTAATGTATAATTTGCATATACTGTATATATAATAATTATCATTATTTTAATTTCTTTTTACTGAATTTTGTCGATTATTATTATTATTATTATTATTTCTTTTACTTTTATTGAGTCTATTTCTTCTTCGTCTCCGAACTCGCGGAGCATTTCCGGTACCACTTCTTCCTTAATTAACAATAATAATTAACAATTTGTTACAAATTAATTTAAAATACTTATTAAAATTGTTAAATTTATAAATGTTATTAAAAAGTATAAATAATAATTACTGGTTCCTCTAATCACCCGAACTCTGCCGCCACCTCCTCCTACTCTTTGACCTCCATTTACAGGAAATAAACGACGAAAAAGTCTAAAGAATAGTCGTTGATCTTCACCGATGGATTCGCTCGACTCCATTGTTATGATGTCTTTCTTATAAATCAATTGATCTCTAATACTATTGGTTTGATCACACATTTGTGTCAACTCTCCATTATCTTCGAGAAAATTTGCTAAACAATTATAGTTATGACTCAAACATATCATTAATAAAATTAAATTCTTTGACATTTATGTTAAGACAGTTAACATTTTTTAACTGATTGAAAATATTTTATTTTATTAGTTAATTCGTTTTATAAAATGTTTTTTAAATACAAAATATTTTTATGTTTTTTTTTGTAAATATTTAATATTAAATAGACATTATTTTCATATTATTTATTAACATTTAATTTAACAAAAATATCCTTGATTAACTAGTACAAGTACAATACTATTTAACCATATGCAATATTTAAATTTATTGTATTTGTTTATTGTTTAACATAATAATAAAAAATAAAATTATAAATATCTATTTACATAATATCTTTTATATTTAATAAATTTAGTTTTGAAACATAGCTAAATATTTTTTAATATATAATACTAGTTTGTCCCGCAAATCATGTATAGCTGTGTAATTCTTTTACTAATTTTAAAATATTCATCATAAATAATTTGAATGGCTTCCTAATTTGTTTTATACATCAAAATACTTAACCTAATGTAACAAAAATACAGTACCAATAGACATTAATTTGTCTAAACTAAAGAAATTTTTAAATATATTTAAATAATTTTAATAAAAATTGGAAATTTAATCTTTTTTGCGAAAAAAATTTGCATTTGAAAAAATTTTACAAAAAGTTAGCCTCCCGGTGCCATATGAGTCATACAAACATTAAAAATTTCCCATAGAAATAACATTGCTTTGATAAAATTTAAAAATTTCAATAAAAATTTAAAATTCTATCATTGTTGAGAAAAATTTTTGCATTTGAAAAAATTTTACAAAAAGTTAGCACAGGTATCTATCCTCCCGGTGCCCTGTGAGTCATACAATATAGCAAAATGTAATTACACAGCGCCTGCCTACCTGTCCCTAAAACCTACCTGAGCTCAATAATCATTTAAAATTTCCCATAGAAATAACATTGCTTTAAATAAAAACCTAAAATATAACAATACATTTTTAGATTTGAATTAAAATATGGTTGTTGATGATATGTGCACGCATACAAACAGAACTATTATCTTAAAGTGTTATCTTGATATCTTGATTCATTAGGAATTATAAAGATTTTTAATAAATAATCTTAACAATTGATAAATATTTTAATAACAATTATATAACTAATATTTATAATACAATTTTAAATGTTTAAGAAATGGTTGCTTTCTTTTTATTTTTTGTTGATTTTTTCTTTGGTTTGTTGTTTTGTTTTTTATTTTGTGGACTCGTATTGACGACAATCACTCGTGTCCTATAGGGTCGTCTTCGACTTCCTCTTAATCTTCTTCTTCGACCACTACTTCTGGCTGATCCGCCATCAGTTCCTCCATTTCCTGAATAATTTTAATAATAATTTCTATAAGAAAATAATCAGAAAAAATAAATAATAATAAAGAGATAAATACCTGGATTTGCTGTTGTTCTCCGTCTCCGTCGTCGCCTAAGTAATGGCAATAACAGTCCAAAACAACGTCTGTCTGAATTGGGACGACTGTCCAAATCTAAACTATCGGAGTCTATATATTTGAATTGATTATTAATTTTAATTAATTGCTTATTATTTTCATAATTATCTTCTAAAAAATTGTTGTTTTCATAACAGATAACATCCCTGATATATAAGATTGTTATAATTAATAAAATTTTATTCAATTTAATTACAGTAAGATTTACTCTTACTTTTTGATACATATTACATAATAAAGGAAAAACAATGCTTTATTATATACAGTATATTGTTTGTCATTTATATTTGATTTATAAGATAATTATATCTCTATTAATTTACTAATTAATTATAGTATTAATGTACTTAGATTTGACAAAATATTTATTCAGGAAGTAATACACTAGTGATTGAATATTAATTTATTATTCAATATTTAAGATTTTATTTATTTAATTTGTTAATTTACTCAGGGGTTCAATCAGTGCAATTGATTACACATCTTTTGTTTTATTAAACAAATTTTTTTAATATTGTTTTTATATTATGTTAAAGTCTATTGATATTACAGTAAAAACTAATTCAAGACTACTATGATATTAAATTACATATATTAATTGCATAAATTTGTTTTAATTAATTAACATACGTTAAATAATAAAATATTTATTAGCACAATAGATTTTTATTTATTTATATATTTTATATTATTAAAAATGTAAAACTTAAATAATATTATTATAAGAATATATATGTAAATTAGTAATATTTCATTTTGTAATAAATTTTGTAATCAATAATTAATTGAAAATTTTACTAATGTTTTTTTTAGTAATTTTCAATAATAGATTCATTAATTATTAAAGACTGCGGATTAAGCATAAGAATAATCTCGAGAATATGTAAACAATTATATTATATTTAAATAAAATATAAGATAAAAACCAATCGTTTGGTTGTTTGACTTCGAGGACAATATGCATGTCTTTGGTTTCATACAACAGAGCCTAACAACTGGTCTTCATTTGTTTGGCACCGGTGTCTATGGGTTTGCCATTATGTATCAAATGGCTCACAACGATCCAAACAATCCGAGGTCATCATATATCGGGGACATTAAATATCTGGTTAGCTATCAACTGATAGTTATAATAATTTATATATATGTCATTTTTTGTCTATTTTTTATTTGATTAGACTTATTGGAATTTGGTATAAATTTAGAGAAACAAATTATTTATATAATTAAAATCTCTTATCAATTAATTGATTTATTTTGGTTTATATTTTATGAAAAAAAGTTATTTCAATTTATGTTTAACTCATTGAGTTTAGTCAAAGATATTTTCGTCTCAAACACTGAAAGTCATAGTTTTTCAGTATTTCTGGACTCAACCTTCTTTTGCACGACATTCCCCTTCTCAGTGGTATTTATATCAATCAATAATTACATTTAGATATATAATATAATTGTTTGAATGACCAGTTTGTTTGCGGGACATTCTGGTTATTAGACTTTGTCGACAAGGGATCTGTTCGGGACCCGGATGTCAACAGTCGATATCCCGAATGGTATACTCACATAACAGTCAGTTTGTTTTTTATCATATCATTTACGATAATTTAATTGATAATCAATTATTTGTAGCACTCGCTCAACGGTCCCATGAATTTTATAGAGATGTTGATGACATACCATGAAGAGCCATACCATAGACACGCCATTCTTGTATTGCTCACTGTATTCTCTCTTTACTTTACATTGTTAATCATTTTGGGCATATTTGTCGACCTCTGGATCTATCCGTTTTTGGCCAAACTCTATTGGTCACAGCGTATCATATTTGCCGTCATCTGTGGTGTCATTTTAATCATCTACTATATGACTGGTGTAGGTCTCAGTAAAGTTCTTTGGCCACAATGTAGAGTCAATTGGTATAAAAAAGTATTAAAATGAAAGATAAACCAAAATTTAATTGTTATTCTAAGTCACAATTTATTAAAATCATTTTCAATTCAGTGTTTGGATAATTAAATAATTGTACTTTAAATTAATGTTGAATTTGTGATACAGTAAAAAGCATAAGCTATTTTACAGTATATTTTTTATATACAGTATATAATCAAAAAAAAAAAATACATACAGTAAGATAATACAATATTTATATATAAATGTTTTTTAATGTTAAAATTTATAAACTAAATAATGATATAATGTTTAAACAGTCGAAGACATAATTAGATAACAGCCAATAAGTATCAATATATCAATAATTTATCAAAATTTTATGTCAGTTATAATTTTATGTCATTAATTGATATAACATAACATTCAAACTTTTGTTGAACAGAAAAACAAAACTAAGAAATCGGTGTTTAATTTCAACTATTGATTACTTGATTTATTTCGCGCATTAGTTCGTCGTCATCGTCGTCACAATCAATGGCATCACTCATATGATTGGATGATTGTCCGTCGAGACTGAAATCAAACTCTTCGTCTAAATCTGTGTTAAATGATTTTATTCGTTGTCTTTCTGAAGTATCGGTTTGTGTGACAACTGTTGTTTCAATAGGTGGTAAAGTAGGAGTTGGACTGCAATGAAGATCTTTAACTATAATATCTTCACATTTTTCTTGAGTTTCATTGTTTGTGTTTTGTTGCGCTACGAGTGAAGTGATGCCTACAGAAGAGCGTCTAATCTTAACGATCGGTGGATTTGACGAATCGGCCGATCGTTTCTCGCCTTTCGGTTCTTTATTTTCTTTGAGTCCATTCTCTATTGACTTGTCTTCATTTGATTCATCGGTATTAGCTTTTAAACTTTTGTCTTGTCTTTCGCGACGAATCTGATCCAATGTCTTAACAGCAAAAGTTTGCGATTCATTCGTTGGAGTATTGGTTGCGTTCACTATACCCGTAATAGTCGGCAATGTCTTAACAAGACTAGCGCTTTGATTATATCTTTTGAGTTTTACTCTTAAATCTTTAGTCGTATTGTTTGTTGTAGTAGTGATGGTCTTCTGTTGTTTGTTTTGCGTCTCCAATATCATTGAAAAGTCGGAGAAGTCGTTAAATTGTTGATCGTTATCGTCGGCCTCACTATTGAAGACCTTTTCCATTCTGATTTGTTCCAATGTCTTCACACCGAAGTTGGCGTTAATGTCATTACTTTTCATGTTTGCTGTTCTCAATTGACGACCAGTTAATAGCGTGTCGTTAGTATTATCTTCGAGTTTTTCGCTGTCATTATCTGACTCTTCATTGTCATCATTAAGTGATATGTTAATGGGTTGTATGTTGTGATTAACTATCGCGTCATTCATTGTGGACACCGATTGTGATACATAGTCGGTGTCGTCAAACAGTTTTAGTCCACTTTTAGCGCTACTTTGAAGGAGACCATTGTTTTGTGTATTATTAGCGCCGTTATTATCACTGGTATTCGTGTTGTCCGCTAAACCCGTAGTTGTGCTGTTAGTGATCGGTCTGATAATACCATCAGTTTTGGTCTCGTCGTCCATTGTCACCAAACGAGGCTTCTTATGCATGAAAACACAGTGTGGTTTCCGACAGCCGGACGGCTGTGTCTCCCAATAGCAGGCAATAGATGACCGATTAATACGGGACTCCATGTGTCGGTACATACAAGTGGCCGCACGCATGCATTTCCCGTTTTGCCAATGAGTACATGTTATCTCTGATCCGAGTGCGGCCTCACAGTGACGATATGGACAGTCATCGCCCTAATTGATTGGCCAACAAATATATTGACAAACAAATATACAAAAGAAATCAACGATTAGTCTTGAAATCAAATTTTTGGGTTTCGGGTAAAGAAAACAACGAAAGAAATGATGAGACAGACAGACAATGACATCATTTTGTGGTCATAATTATCATTACTTTAGTACACGTCGAGTAATAATAGAAATAGCAGTCGTCGTCACTCTTCTCCATTGTCGTCATCATCGGTGGTCAACTAGTATTCAAACAAATGGTCACAAACAACAAAAATGGTCACTAAATGTACCGATTATTACACAAAAAGTATTCAAACAATCAATGGTTTTGTAATACAAACCAAACACTCAATAATATTGTATTTCATTCAATATATTCTATATTATTATAATATGTGTTTAACTTAAAGGACTTTTCATAAATGCTGTTACAGATAAAAGGGGGAAAACTAATCAATTTATTTACAAAATACTCATAAATAACATAACGATCAAAAAAATTTTACATACATTTGATAAGTTTGTATTAATGCTAAATAATACAGTAATATACAGTATATATAAGTTATAATATAAGTTATAATATAAGTTATAATATAAGTTATAATATAAGTTATAATATAAGTTATAATATAAGTTATAATATAAGTTATAATATAAGTTATAATATAAGTTATAATATAAGTTATAATATAAGTTATAATATAAGTTATAATATAAGTTATAATATAAGTTATAATATAAGTTATAGTATAATTTTAATTTCTAATTTAAACAAATAAATACATATCTGCTTTTTTATCTGTTAGATTTATTAGTAATTAATCAAAAATAAATCAATTTTATAAGTTTTTATATCAATTTATTAAAGTTTATTCAAATATAATTACATCAATCAATTATATCATTTTATTATTATTATCAATAATAATGATAACATTTAAAATATATCACATTTAAATATAATATAAATCGTATATATATATATATATTTAAAAGTAATTAAGCATTATTATTTTATAATTTTATAATTAGCTCTTATATTTAATATAAAACATCACACAATGCGTGTTATAATTATAAAAAAATCAAAACCATTACAAACTTATTAATTTTGAAATTAAATTTAAAAAAATACATTGTGTTATGTCTTAGATTAAAATTGTGCAAAATTTTGTAACATCTGATTTGCAAAATTTGATTTATATTATATTTTGTTATTGTAATTATGGTTTTGTATAGAAAACGTACATGATAATTTCGGTACAACAATTCATCAAGATCAATACATTAAAATTTTAATTACAAAAAATACATTTAAATATTACTTTAATTTTTTTGTTGAAATATTCGTTTTTTGTTCATAGATAACAAGTGTCACAATTAGAGCAATCATTATAACGTCAATCATCATAATGTTATATATTTTGGTCATTATGTTTATTAAATTATTTTTTAATATTAATATTATTTGACATTATAATTTGGCATTTTTCAAACAAATTCAATAACAAATTATATTTTTTTAAAATTAAAAATAAAAATAAATTGTAATTTAGGATTTCAAATATAATTTTGTTTTTTGCTTTGTTAAATCATTTACATTTTTTGTTTGCAAATTAAAAACACAATTAATTGTATTCAATATTACACTGCTATTACATTATATAAATAAAAAAAATAAAGCACACACTTAAACACACAAATATATTTTTGATAGATAGTAAAATCGAATTAACAATTTACAAAAAATTATATATACTATATATATGATTTTTGTTATTTTATATTTCACATTCATTTTTAAAATGTACTTTTAATTGTAAATTTTAAAAATAATATTAATATTTAATAATTATTATATATATTACTTTACAAAATATTCCCAAAAAGAAAAAATGAAAAATGTTAGCAATAAACAAATGCATTGAATTTTTAATGAATTATGAGATGAGATAAATAATTGTCAATAATTACTATTTTATAATAATTCAAAAAAATATTATTATTTCAAAAACAATCAAATTTATTCAACATATTTTGTTTATTTATAGATATTATGGTTAAATTATGAAAAAATAAATTATGACACAAAATATTTTATAGTTTTTAAAAATTAACATGTTCAAAAAATTGTTATATATTTTAATTATTAATGTAATTTTTTAATAATCAAAATGACTGGAATAAATGAACCAATTTATAAATGATATTGATAAATTATTGTAATAATGTATTACATTTTATATAATACAATTGATATTTTTAAATTTTTAAATTGTAACTCTCATATTTAGGATATTAAATAAAATTTAATTAAATTAATAAATTAGATAGTAATTTAATAAAAAAAATAGTTCATAACTATCTTTTAGCATCAAATTATAACGATAAACATAGAGGAAGTATGTTAGTGCCTGTCTATCATATCTATACATATACTCCAAGTGCTCTCTAATGATAATCAACAATAATACGGTATTTTTCTGAAATACTAAGTATTATATACAGTCAAGTATGTAATACAGTATTACTAAATGCATTGTAATCTTAATTATAAAAAACAACATTTTTATAATTAAAGAATAGTGTTGTTCTTTCCTTTCCATTAATTAAATTATCAATTGTTTCATTAAAAAACATTACATTGTTATTGAAATTAGTTTTGAAGGATGAGTTTTGATATATTATTTAATAATGAAATGATGTTTATAATGCGTTAATTTATATATATAATCCAATTTATTATTGTGTGATCTTAATACAACAATTTATAAAACAATTATTAAAATTGATATTTCCAATTTTTTCTATTTATCATATTTATATTGACATATACAGTATGATATTTATAATATAAATACATACATATATGTATATATATTTTATAGATTTATTATATTAAAATTGTAATTTTATGCACAAAAATTGTTTGTTTTGTTATATTTTGTGTGTATTTTGAATTCAATATGAATAGCAATTTTTAAATTTGTGTGTATATATAGATATTTCATTGTATATAATAATTATAATAAACTATAGTTTGGCAGGAATTGTGTTCACACGCTATTTACTGTTTATATACACACACGTAGACAGGTATACATTATATGGACAGGTCGTCCATCAGCTATCAAATCAGTTAATCTGAGCCGTCATTTTCAAAACATGTTTAATTGAATTGCTTTTTTGAATTTTTTGTTTATATAAATACATTGCTTCCCCTATCCTTCAACATGTTATCTCTTTAGTAGATTTATTTGGTACCAAAAAATTTTGATCCATTAGTTTGTCGGTAAATTCTAACACTAAATGTATAGTTAAAAATTGTTTTTTGTTTGTTTGTTATAATGAGAGAAACACTCACTATATGTTATAGTGATCAACAATAAAAATAAATAATTTTAAATATATATAATATATATAATTGATTTAAAAACTAATTATAATATTAAATATTACAAAATATTATTCAGAAATAATAAAAAAATTATGTAATTAAATTAAGTAAATAAAAATGATAATTACGACAATTTAGTTATTTTAAATCAATTCAAGACTAATTAATAACCATTTTATATATAAATTAATAACACTTAGATTATAGACTACCGGTTATTTATCTCCAACCCGTGAGATAGCACAGCACAGGACACACGCAAAAATGAGTGCAAACACCTGAACCCCGATGAGTATGCCTCCCGTTATGAGAATCCATTGCCACTTGTCTTCCATGAATTGTTCAAATTTAGTCAGACATCCCGTTCCGTGAATGACTTTTTGGTTAATTAGATTTTCAACAGAATTTCTTTGTTGGTTCTGTGACGAGAGGTTTTGGGTCTGTAGTGCACAGGTTTCAGAGTTAGGCTCCAAACAACAGGAATGTGGTATACGGTATGAACCTCTCGACGAATCGGCTCCGATACCAAATTCAGGCGATCGGACTGAACTGTTTGCTTCCTTATTATAGCTTGAGTTGAGCCAATCAATGGGTCCTTCGGCACCACAACACTTGAGGTTACGTTGAATGCGGTCCACAAGCATTTCAGTGGCATTGGTATTACCGGTCCCATAGTTTACTTGAATTAATTTTTGAGTATCACGTTTTATACGATCCTTTACCTAAATTTATTAAATTTTTAATTAAAATCAACACTAGATTTTATTATAAAGGTTCAAAATATCTGTACTTTATAATTATTTTATTATTTAAAGACACATTTTCTTTGAATAAATATTGTGTAATTGTAAATATTTCAAATTTATTTTATAAATCAATATATCTTTTATACTAAAATAAATATCAGGTTTGAGAGCAAATAGTTACTTAACTATATTAAAAATTATATATAATAAATATAATAATGCTGTACTATAATTACTATAATAAAACTCTGGATCACTTCCACCTACTCTCTCTCTCTCTCTCTCTCTCTCTCTCTCTCTCTCTCTCTCTCTCTCTCTCTCTCTCTCTCTCTCTCTCTCTCTCTCTATTTCTCTATTTCGTAAATGATTTTTTAAATCATACAGATTTGTCATTACTTAAACCATGTATTCAGTAAAAGACAACTGAGTTTTCTCACTAATGAAAGAAACTTTTTTTTTTTAATCATTGTTTTTTTTGCTCACTTTATGTCTGAAAAATCTTAAGATAAGATCGGATAAGAGTGAGAAAAGAGGGAAACTGGAGAAAAAACAAACAAATATATATATATATACATACATACATATATAATACATACATAAATATATATATATAWATATAAATATATCTTTTATTTTTATTTTGTAACGTTTCGGTGCAAAATAAAAAGCCTCTCAAATATTGTGGTGACAAATGTTTTACTTACAGTGTGTTCATTATGAATGGCCCAAAATAGTGATGCCCCACACGCGACACACATCGTTACGCAAAACAGAAAGTACTGTATATTTATAAATAATATTAATTTTTTTAAAAAAATATAATGTAAATACTAATAATAGTAATAATAATAAAACATTTAGAAAAACATTATCTCCGACAAATTTACAAATGGTTTTTTGTGTGTTAGACTTATAAATAAATCATACAATAGAAAAAAATGATATCCTTAAACATGTTAGAAGATTAAATAAAATAATAAAAATACGGAAAAAATTTGCTAATAAAATAAGTGAGAAATTTTTTTGGGTATAGAAAAGAGAAAATTTGTTGGGAAAATAATTTTATTAATACACTATACATTGAAAATTAATATACCGGTATATATACAGCAGTATATATATTCAGCAAAAAAAATATAATTTGAAACCAAATTTTCTCTGAACTTACGGTTCCCAATAAACATGACGACTCTCTAACGGCACCACAACAGCCGAGAAATCCGACGACAGTCATCACACCTCCGAGTATGAGAAGCACTATGAAAGGGGTTACATAGTATTGGCCCACTTCGTTCAGGTCCAGGTAGTTCTGGGAGTCCCACCATAAATAGGCAGACAGTCCCAGTATTACGACACCCAATAACTAATTGAAAAAATAACATAACATTCATTATTTTATTGAATAATTTATAATTGAAAACTATTTGCTGTAAAATTAATTACTAACAAGTAATTACAAGAAAATAACTGTAGTGTCAATTTTGTTTTATCATTATATAGTTTCCCGCTTTTTTGTGTTGTGTTAGTTATATTACTTTTCAAGGCATTATGCATATAATATATTTGTATAAACTTTTATATAAACAACCATGCTCATTTTGAAAATAATTATCACTTCTATAGTCTACAGCATTTATATATACTGTATATATACTGTATATAAAGCAAACACAAATATTTCCATATTTATGAGTTTTATTATATGATATGTTGTTTGGAAAAATCAATTCCCAGAGAATATCTTATTTTTATTATGCTTTCCATTGCATATAACAGTGCTTAGAGAGTGCTATTGTAACACACAGTTCGTCGAAATATTTGTATAAAATTCAGTGAAGAGACTATGAGTTTGAAGAGTGGGAGAAGTGGGAGAAGTGAGTGTGTGAATCATTTTACATTATAAAAGCAATGTTTAGCATATGTTTGTACAGTTTGAAGCTCATGTCCATCAGGTGATCAACCCCTCCCCTCCTAATAGCATCATAACTAACGGTTATTACAGTTAAAACATTAATGCGCGCATAAAATACAATCACATTTTAGTATTATAGTGTAGTAATAAAAATGCAAACTAAAACAATATGAGCATTAAATAAGTAATTACATTATACTATATTACAGTAGAGTATATAATATTAAACATTTCTATCAAATATATTATTAATATATGATATTAGATCTCTAGTATTGGTTTTAAACATTTGATGAAAACATTGAATCAGTTATCTCTTATAATGTAATTCATAAATCCGTTATTTTCTTAATTAACTACATTTTGCTCTACTGTTTTGAATTATCAATACGAAAATATACTGTATATTAATTGATATATAAATCCAATTGATTTTTGGATTATTAACAAATTATAATATTATATAATTAATACATTTGATAAATATAATTAATTTATAAATATACATCATATAAATATTGATGATATTAAACTAACTGTAAACTTATTATTAGTACCCACAATATCATGCTATTATGTTATAATACACATCAGTTTATACATCAATTGATTGGTTGTGCAGTGATTGATCAACAGTTATGTTATGTAAGACATCAAACAGTGAGTGTGTGTGTCTTGTATTATATAATAGTATATATAATATATATATATATACTTATTTATCAATAAATATCAATATATTTAACATTAGCTGCCAATACCAGCAATAAATAAGCAGATATAGTACAGTATATTAAAATATGTTTGTGATATCAATGAAGCATAACATAAGACTTACCCAAAATAAAAAGTTATAGAAAACTACCACATATTTGATACACGAGAGCATTATTAGTCCGATTTTTATGTCGATCACTATTAGCACAAACAACACTATAGTTCAATAAAAAAATGACTAAATTTGTGTTAATTATAATATCACTAAAACACAAACAAATAGTCAAATAGTAATGTTATAATTGATGTCTTTCCTCGACAACTATGCCTTTCCCAACAACACAGCTCTTGTATATCACACACTCAGCACTCCATTCACGATATACTCGAGCAATATCTTCACCTCATATGTAAAGTGCATTTACAGAGACAGAGGAGACTCTACTCAATACATGAATTCAGATGAAGGCCTTTGACTCTCTCTATGTATTTCTCTCTCTCTTTCTTTCTCTATCTCTCTTCTGGTACTCGGAGTTTGAGTTTGAGCTAATACTGACAACAACAGAGAGTATGCTCTGAGTCTATATTACTCGACTCAGTAGTATTGAGGAATCGGTATTATATGTGAGAGATAGGAGAGGGTCAGAGAAAAAATTGATAGCATAGTTAAACGAGTGGGAGAGCGGGTGAGTGAATGAGAGAGAGAGAGAGAGAGAGAGAGAGAGAGAGAGAGAGAGAGAGAGAGCTTTGGCACCAGAACTGGTTTCGGTAGCTATGACACAGCCTGTGATCAACAAAAATGACGTTAACTCTTGTTTTATATCAAAACCACAGACATTAGAGAGAAACTGGAATAACGAGGGATGAGTTGTTTAAATGTTTAGGCATTCAGTCAGTTAGACTACCAGTTCTTTTTCCAGTCAATGTTGTAATACAATGTACTTTAAATAGTATTGATGTATCAAAAAAAATATTTTGCAAAAAATTCAATATATTTAAAATAGTTTATTTTTTGTGCTTAAATTTTTTTATCTAACATTTTTAATGGTATTTTTTCATAAACATTTACTCTACACCTCACAAGTTGTGATAATATTTTTTTTAGTAAATACTTAAGGAAATAAAAATTAATTACTTTTTTTTGGAGGCAAAAATATTTTTCACCATAAAAAATGTGCTAAACATGACTTAATTTTTCCATATAAATACTAAATTTAGTTTATTTTATTATTACATTCGACAAATCATTCATTAATCAATCTTTTTATATGATATTTCTTAATGCATACAATTATATTCAATGCAATAAATATATATTTTTTACTGAATTACTAATATATTTATGGGACAGAAATAGATATCAGTTGTATAGCTAAGTATCAAATTTTAAAATACGATGTATTAATGTAAATACTGTTATAACTATAAGAAGTTTTATTATTTTAAAAATATTTTTTTTTTAGAAACAAATGTTTTTGTTGTTAATCATTAGCGTTAACAATAAGTTTTACTTAAAAGTAAAGTTTATAAAATCTAATCTTATATTTCTTAATAACACAGTTTTATATACTTTCAATTTGTTTTTATCGCATTTTTTTATAAACATTTTTTGTATAAAGTGTATAAATATTTGTTTTAAAATATTTATGTTATAACTTATAAGTTACTGTAAATAAAAAGTTATAGAAATTATTTTATTGTTTGTATTGGCAACATTAATAATGAATTTAATAAAACCAAATCAATTTTAATATAAGATTTTAAATAATTATTAATTACTCTTTCTTTCTTTCTTTCTTTCTTTTATTCTTTCACTCATTTAACTTAAAATTTCTGTAAATCATGTATTAATGTAAGATTTATAATTCAATTGTAAAAATATAATATACAATAGATACATAGATTTGTTTAGAATATATATACAAAAAACTGCATTAATAGTATTATAGACAATAGCAAAGACAATGTATGTTATTTTTATGAGCACAGGTATGCTTGGATTTGTTGTAACGGCAACGCGAAAAAAATGATTTATGGCATATTTAGGCTCAAATATGCTTATATGGGTGTCAATAGTTTGTATATATATTATGCCAATATTATATATTATAATACTGTAGTATATTATAGTAATTTATGTGTAGTTTACAGGTTTTCGCTAAATTAGTTTTTTCATTGCTGTCATAACTTCATTTCTAACTAATGGGTTCCTCCCTCTGCCATAATAGCTATCCTTTTAATAACTTCTCATTCAAACATATATTATATTTTTGCTTTTTTAAAAAGGTATGCTATATTATATCTCTAGCCCAGGTATTAAATTTCAAACACTCTCCAGTGCTATCAGTTGTGAGTTATCTATATGTTTGCTTCAAAATCATGTAAATACCGATCCTTATAAATACAATTTAATTGAATTTATTTGCAATGAAAAGGAGGAGATCTGGAGTTTTGAGAGTTGTTTAATAATAATTGCATTCAATAGTAAAGTGCAACGATTGCAAAAAATTTTAACATTTTTCTCTTCATATGCATACTATTTTATACAATATATATATATATATATATATATATATTATAGTGGTATTATAAAGTGATATTAAAAAGTTATTAATCAAACTTAAAAGAAAAACAAGTTTTTATAAGCCGAAAGTACAGTATTATTTTCATTTGAGATTTTTCACACATAATGTATATTTAATGAATGACATCCTCTCATAATTGATAATACGATATCAATTGATTTTATACGGCATTTATAATAATAATAATAATCTCTTTGTACTGTAGATTCAATATTATTATAAATTAAATACTATCGTATATTTCACAATATTTCAATTGATACAAATCTTATAAATGAATGGGAAAGTATTATTTCAAAATTAAAAACAAAAACAATATTTATAGTTAATTATTTAGGGTTTAATGACTTGATTTCTAGTTTAATTTTTAAATATTTTCTTAGTCAAGTAAAGATATTTTTAAATAAAACACTATTAATTATTTTTAAAAATATTAAACTAATAACAATAATTCAAGTTTATAACAATAAGGATATGAATATACTGTAGCTATTGTTTAGATAATAAATCCTTTCAAATATTATTATAACAAATAATGTTTGCTTAAACTTGATTATATAAATATTAAATTTTTTATGATAATAGTCTGTAATTGCATAAACTATTTTATATTTTACTGATATTTTTTACCAAATGGTATATATTTATACTTTATATATAATTATAGTATTTTTGGTTATATTTTATAATTTTGATTCTGAAGCTACAATATATATGAATATCATATTATGAATAACTATCAATGCATTTTAAATATGTGATTAAATATTAACTATTATATAGATTATTAATGTCAAACATGTTTGAATTATTTTTTTTAATATACTTTATTTAAGCATTTTAAAAGAAAATTATTTTTACATATATATTCTATATACTGTAATTGTTTAAACAACAAATAGTCTTAGGTTTGATAAAAAAAATAAATAAAAAAGTTTGTTGGCTATTATTTATGATTATTTAACTGATCTAACCATAAGTTTATTTTTTGTATTATTATTTTTAAAAACCTAAACTATATACAGTATCTCTAAACTTATCTTCAATTGTATAATCATAAGTACAGTACAACTGTTACAATATTTGTTTAAGAGCATCAAAAAATTGTTGTTAACAATTAAATTGATTTATTTATATGTACTACATTTAAATTTTTTGTTATTACATTTAGGTTAATACTCATAATATACACAAACAGACACATTAAAAATTAAGTAAAAATACATTTTGCACAACATTTGCTGTTGTCGTATATATATTGTTTTTATTTAATTATTTTTTTGTGGAAATAACACTTAATCTATTTATAGTATAAATTGCTGCTTGATACTATTATTAAAAATTTTGATTTAATTAATTTTTTAAAATATAATATTGTTTGTATTAAAATTAAAATTGAAATTAAATTTGAAGATAACAAACATAAAAATAATATTACTAATAACTTATTATATGATTTTAATTTATTGTTATAAATTGTGTTTATAATATGTGTGTGTATTTACATTGTAATTTTGTAATTATATCTTATAATAAGTCATTATTACAATATTATACTAACATTACTTAAAATAATTTTTGCTGTAAAATAATATAGATACAATTTAAAAATTAATTAAATAAAAAATATTTTTTTTAAATATCTTAAATATAAACTCATCTTTTTGAAAAAACTAATAGCTTATTATATATTTAATATTTTTATTTATTTTTAAAAAATAGCTACAAGTTTTATTTATTAGTAGTATTTAGAATTATATGTAGATTTAAACGATAAACTATTTTAAATATCATAACTACTGTTTGAAAATTAAAAAAATAATTTGTTAAATAAAAATATAATTTATTTATTATTCTTGATAAATTATTATACTGCAAATATTTACAAAAAACGAGTTATACAAATTTTATAGTAAACTTTACTAAATTGTGCATGATACTTTAATATTGTAGAGTAATTTTAACTGAAAGATCACTATTAAAATTACTATTTATATAAATGACTATTTTTTGAATGAATTACGAAATTTTCATTATAAGTTTATAGATTTTTTGTATATTTTTTATGTGTAAATTAATTTATTTTAAGTGTTTGTTAAAAAATTTGAATATTTTATGTTTAGATTATTTAAAAAAATGAAAATTATTTGTTATTAATGTTTTTACTTATTTAATAATTATTTATTTAAATTATTCAATAATAGACTTTATAGTGAACTAGATTTAGTAAAAAATAAAAATTTTATTTTACTTTATTATACTTTACAATTAAAATATTTATATGATTTTAGTGATATTAAATATAAGTCATTTTTCTATATCTATATAAACAAAAAACTGTTTTTATTTATAATATATCAAATAATAAGAATCTGTTTTTATCTATTAGTGTTAATAGATATTGATATATGACTTTATCAAATATGATTATATTTGCTAAGTTAATGAAAATTATAATTAACCCGTATTTTAACAGATTTTTATAATATTATCTTATAAATAACTAAAATTCAAATATTATAGTTTTAAAATATATTTTAAATCATTTTTAATAGTACAAGTTTGAAGTAATTTTAATATTAATTTGACGATAATTAAAAATAAAATAAAATGTAATATAAATTCATATTTAATAACTAAGTAACTGTTAAAGTTGTTAAAGTTTAATTATCTTAATATATATCTTTATAATAAGTTTATTTAAAGATAATTCAGATGTTAGGATCATAATATATCTGTAAAATTATAATTAAAATATTTAATAATTTTTCAAATATTAAAATATCCCATTTATTTGATATAAAATGCGTTTAATTTTAATACTTTGAAACTATTTAAAATTATTAAATTTATGATAACATAATTTTTTTAATCTCTATAAATCAATTTTTATTTTATTTTTTCATATTACAGAATACATTGTAATATTTTTATTTTTATTTAACTACTTTACATTTATAGCTCTAAAAATAAACACAGTTAGTTGTTTTTGACACTGATTTTTAATAAATATAATATAATAAATAACTTTATATAAAGTACAGTATATTTATATATCATATTTATTTGGTACAAAATATTAAGAATTATTTCTTAAGTATTAAATATATTAAACTCAATTCAATTCAACCCTTTAAACAAACAAAACAGGTATTCAAACAAACTGTAGATTTACACTAAAAAATAGTTAGAAAGTCTCTCTCTCTCTTTCTCTCTTTCTCTCTTTCTCTCTCTTTCTCTGTTTTTATCATCTTTAATCTTTAACTATAATAATTGAATTATATATATAACTAGTAAGTTAACTATGCGTTAGGTCAACACTTATTATTTATATAATAAGCACATTATATGTTAATATAATTAAAAATTTTAATTCATTAACAAATAAATTTTATTTAAAGAAAACAATTAAATTTAAGAATTCATATTTCATTTTGTAATTATTGAGTTCTACTTTTATTACGTGAATAAAGTATTCAATTCAATGGTAAACTGTTTTGACCTCAAAATCTCATAAAACCTATCGATCAGACCTTTTTTGAAGACCAGACAGCATAACATCATTACAACAAAACAACAAAATTTTATGATTTAAAACTTATTTTTCTGATTACATAAAAAACCTAATTTATTTAGAAAAACAAATTATTAATCAAAATTATATATCGTTTTATTGTTATTGTTATATAATTTATGGTTTTATATTACATTTAAATATACGTTCTTTAATGTTATTTATATTATTAGAAATAAAACACTATTTTTAAAAAACACTGTTTAAATTATTACCTTTTAAAATATATGTTTTTCATGTTGTAATTTTTTATTTTAATAAATGCCCATAGTAAAATTTCTATCTTAGAAAATTAGAAAAATTAGAAATTAATATAATAGGAGTTATTTATTACTTAAATTTCTATAATTTATTTGATTATAATAAAAGCGGTTTAACCTATATGTCAAATAATATCATTAATAATATTTTGTTATTTATTATTAATTTTTATATCTTTTTTTATTTCTATACAAAATGAGTAGTAATTATATAAATGATTTATAAATTAATTTGAATTATTATTTTTACGTCAGATTTTTATTAATAGATATTAATGCTTTTCATCCTATTATTAGAGTCAATCATTTTTGAATAAAACAAAACAATTGTTTTTATTTATAAAAGTTTAATCGAAAAATAGTTTATAAATGCTATTCATTTAAATTAAATAAATTGTTTATCGTAACGTAAATTAAAATACAATTTGATACAAAAATTTATTTTATAGATTGCTAATTATTAGTTAATTAAACTAAAAAATATTAGCTAAATACTAGATTAGTTTATCTTTAAATCTATGTGTAAAGTCTGCAAATAAATGTTTTAATTGCTTTAATTAACAAATATTTAAAATTTTGTTTTTTAAAGTATATAAATAAAATTATTTAAAACACTTAATTACTTATAAATACTTAGTAAACGCTTAATATTGTTCATAAAAATAAGTTTAAAATTAGTATAAAGTATTTAATATAAATTATTAAATAATAAAATAGTATTTAATTAAAATATAATTATATTTAAAATCTAAAAAGTAATTTTAAAGTTTTAATTGATTGAAGTATACAATAGTTTTGAAATACTATCTTCTAGTGTTTGGGGGTTAATATGTGGTTAATATGTGGTTAATATGTGGTTAATATGTGGTTAATATGTGGTTAATATGTGGTTAATAGTATTAATAAGTTTTATCAAATTTATTTAAGACAAAGAAAAACTTTCCATAAATATACCATAAATTTTGCCCAAAAAAATGTTTAATTATTTTGAAATTATATAAAAATAAATGAAAAATTTTACTTATATTTTAATCACTAACTTATTTGTCTATCAAATCGACATTCAATTGATATCGATATCGATTCAAATAATTGTTAGCAATATTAGTCAAAAAGTTTTATATATTGCTATCATTTTCATTCAATAGACGGCAGTCTATCTTCACATTAATATACAGTAATATATAACGGGAATCGACTGTATTGACAATAATTAGTAAAAAAGCGTTTTTCACTATTTTTATGACCATTTGGTTTGACAAACAACGCGASCGACGGCCACAACATTGTTTCGCACGGCTATTGCGACCACAATTAGGAGGTAATGACTACTTTATGACCATTTTTATCACCAATTATTGTCAATCAATGAGTTTGTCGTTGAATTTGTCGCGTAATTGACGGTTAAATTGGACTACAAATGACACAAATGACGACAACGTGTTTTGTGTGGATCTGATTGTTGTGTCTTTTGGTGACCTGTTTTGGTGACCAATTTGTGACCACTGCTGTCATCCAAAACTCATAATGAATATTACGATTGAGACCAATATTTTCCGTTTGTTTCGGCAATCGGTTTACATATTGGTTGACATTACGTGACAATACTTCCTCTAATTGTAATGAAATTGATTTTTTTAAAAACTTTCTCTACTTTTTAAAGAAGTTGAAAGAGTTTTTGATTATCATTTTGAATATCATTTTGAATATCATTGACATTACAATTACCGCAAAGATCGAGGCCATGAATGTGTTGATAATTATAGTCATTATAATGATATTATTGTTTATTACCGACAGAATTGACAATCACTACCAAAACTATTGAAAAGTTGGATCATTTGATATATAAATTAAACAAAAGTTTTGTCTATCGAAGACATGGAGATTAGTACCGATGATAACACCTATTTGGTCGCCGATGAGACCATTTTGCTGACTAATGACACAAATGGTCAGCTCGTGAATGAAGAGAACAATGAGATTACTGGTGAAGAAGAGTTGGATGCTTTGGTTAAGTCACAAGTGGACCAAACAGATGACCAGTTGAATGACGACGAAATCATTATTGCGGAGGCAGTTATGGTCACACAATTCACGTGCAAATTCTGTAATCGACGCTTTGATACGATTGAGAAAGTGAAGAATCACTATCTTTTGCGACACACTAAGGATTTATCACTTATCAAACGCTACTCTGACGGACAATCGATGATCGACGGCGAGAGTATAGATGAAAATGACGATTTGGATGAACCAACACTTTCGTCAAAAAGAAAGAAAATTACTAAACGAAAGCGTCCGAAAAATACTAACAAAACCAAAACAAATCAATTGAATTTGAAGGATGAAGAAGACATACCATCACCAACTAAAAAGAGTCGTCGATCAGTCCGTAACATCAGAAAATACCCGTGCGATTGGCCCGCCTGTCCATATGTGGCCAGACATTCGGTTAATTAAATTGTCATTTTTAAACTTTATTTCATTGAAATGTTTTTTTTCAAAAATGCATTTTTAGGTTCATTTGAAAGACCATAAGCGCACCCATACAGGCGAAAAGCCCTACAGATGTAATTGGCCTGATTGTGGAGTCAGCTTTGTTCAGGGATCAGCTCTTAAAGTATGGTTTAATTTGGAAATATTTTGAAATTTACCGGTAGTTATAATTTTGATTTTATCTTCAAGACTCACATACGTACTCATACGGGTGAGAAGCCATATCCATGTCAGTGGCCGGGATGTCAGCTAATGTTTTCACAGAAAAACAATGTCAAAGTTCATATGAGAACACATACGGGTGAGAAACCGTATGTTTGCGATTGGCCCGGATGTGAGTGGAGGTTCGCTGTTAAGGGAAATTTAGGTCAGTATCTGTTGAACTTATTATTTGGTAATAAATTTTAACTGTTATAATAATAAATTATTAATAAATATTTTACTGTTAATATGTCAGATGATCACAAAAAATTACATACAGGAGAAAAGTTTTTCATTTGCGATTACCCGGGTATGTCGTTATAGCACTTACTAGTAATCGATATATCAAATAATTGATAATTTGTAAACAAAATTAATTATCAATAGGTTGTGACCGAAGTTATATCCAAAACTCGCATTTAAGACGCCATATGTTAGTCCATACCGACGAAAAGCCGTTTGCTTGCGATTGGCCCAACTGTTCGTATCGATCGGTGCGATCGTGCGATGTGTCCAACCATAAGTTCACGCACACCAAAGAAAAACCATATGTCTGTCAAGTTATTGATTGCGGTAAAGCGTTTACACGACAACATCATCTACGAAAACATCACGACAACAATCATCAGATGGACGACTTCACATACGATCAGTGGGATGACACTCAAGAACTGGACGATCATGAAATAGATTTGGCGACTGCTGTGATCATCGAGAAAGAGGAGGAGTTGATAGAAGATGAATAGGTTTACTATTGATTGAACAAAATAAATATATCATGTATTGATTGACAATTTGTCATTTATGATTATCTTATTAATTAAAACAGTATTTTTAAGCTTTCAATTACTATTACCATACGGTAAGTTAATTTTCATTGATTTTGGTTTATATTATTTGTAATAACAAATTTAGAAATAATTATCGTACTTTACCTAACTTACGGTAACTTTATTATTTTCTCATAATTACCGGCACTGTATATTGTTTATGTAATAATTTGATTTAAGTAAACATTGTACAGTATAAATATTGTAATCATAAAACTTAATTTAACCATATTAAATGTAAATTATTTTATTGATAATAAAATTTGATAATTATCACACATTCACACAACAAATATGGTTATCTATAAAGAGTGATGGATTGGGTTAATAATAAGATAATTAATGCCTTCAGAGGTAGTAATACTTTTTTATTGAAATTAATTTTCAGTTAATTATTAATTAGTTGTCATTTATTTATATAAATTACGGTAATCTTTTTTTTTAACTTATATACAAAATATTATTATATAATATAATTGTTTATATATATATATATATATCAATTTTAGTTACAAGCGTAGAAAAATTTGAATGTACGGTACTACAGTATTAATTTTTTAATATTGATAGAAAACATCACTGGTAATATTACCGTATAGGCCCGCATATAGCCCCCTAACAAATTTTTTAAATTAAAAAAATCAACATTTGGTAAAGGGTTATATCTCACTTATTGTCCCATATTTTCACATATAGCCCCTGATGACCAGGGGGCTATATGCGGGTCTATACGGTAATATGAATTTAATTGAATGTGTATTTTTATGGGCTAATAAATAATGTTTAACAATTAACAATATACGGTACTATCATTATATGTGCCATAATTGCATTAAAAATTATTTTGATCTACAGCTCATATCTATGTTTTCAAATTCATATTACCGGTAATGTATTCAATCGATATAACAAATAGTGACAAATATGAACTTCGGTGACTATACACACACAAAATATTTATTGTATTTTAATATAATTTTTTATAAGTCAAATAAAATAAGTATTAGAAAATATAAAATAATTCATAATAATAAAATTATAGAATAGCAATATAATTTCAGTTTTAAAAAATGTAGAAATTCAACATAAGTGATTCATGTCTATAAATATAATTTATACTGGGCTAAAAATCATAATTATCTAAAATAAAATTTTTAGATTTTCCTAACTAATCAAATGACTAATTAAATAGATTTTTCACATTTTACTTAATGTTTGGTTTGCAATCACAATATATTGATGTTTTTGGTCGGCTTAGAGCTCATCCTTTTCCAGCAAATTATTTGCCACAATATCCGACACAAAGTCATAAATGTGTTCGAGATCTCTGATACCATCATATTCTGTAATCTTCTGGTTGTCTTTGTATACAAACAAAGTGGGATATCCTTCGACCTACAGTAAGCATCAAAATTGATTTTCAAATTCAAAATTTATATTTTAAAAAATTATAAGAAATAAATACCTGTTGTTTATTACAGAGACTTTCGTGTTGAGAGCAATCAACGCTTGCAATGGTAATGGCATTGTTTGCAAACATCTTTGTTGACAATTGGTGCCAAACAGGTCTAAGTTGTTTACAATGTGAACACCAGGGAACCCAATATTTAATAAAAGTAATGTCTTTCTTAATTATTTTGCCAAAATTGTCTTCATTTATAATCAGTGGACCATAATCTTCATTATCGAGACTCAAATTTAGAGTAACTGTTTGTTCAGTGTTTTCATTTTCAATGTCTTTCTTCTCTGTTATAAAATGTTTTAAGTCTTCATGTGTGCGACTGCCTGTGCAGACAATAAACAAACAAAAGTAAAGTAAAGTATTTAAACTTATAAACCAATTAATAAAGTAATTACCAGTATATCTGTCGACAACCTTTCCATCGACAATCCAGAGAAGAGTTGGATAACCCTTAATATCATAGTTCTTGCAGGACATACCACTAGTAGTGCAGTCAATCTTAGATATCTTAACACTTGTGTCGTATTCAAATGATTGTGCCAATTGATCCCATGTAGGCGCCAATCGTTGACAATGGCCACACCACGGGGCGTAAAACTTAACAAAATGCTGACCTTTTTTGTGATTATTATCTCATTTAGTGAAAATGTATTTAGTTTTAATACAATCAATACCTTTGCTAAGAAACTTATCTATATTTTCATCTGTGAGTTCATATAACCCATTAAATGATTTAGGCGTATCAGGAGACTCATGGCTTTCGGCGCTCTCATCACTGGCCAAATCGGTGACGCCGTCGACAATAGTATTGCCTAATTGTGTCCTCAAATATGTCTCTAAATTCAATAAACTTTTGTCGCCTTCATATTCAACACCATTTGATTCCCGGCTCTTATATAACTTGAGTGTAGGAAATCCCATAACACCTTCACGTGAACAGAGATCCCGTTCCTCAGTGCAGTCGACTTTGCCAATGATGACCAGTGAGTCTGAAGTTGACAATAATTTGGCTTCAAGTTTGTCCCAAACCGGTGCCAACTTTTGGCAGTGACCACAGCTGTCGGCAAAAAATATATATAACAATAACAAAATGTTTTCAAAATATATCAAAATAACTGAGACATACTTCGGGGCATAAAACTTGACAAACAGATAGTATTTGGACGCAAGTATATCATCAAAGTCTTCGTGAGTCAACTGTCGACCAAAAGTGGCCGTCAATTGTGACAAAATCAGTGCCCAAATCAACACTAATAGTGCGGTCAATGAATCCATGTTTTTTGGATGAAAGTGACGACAATGTCTTGAGCGGTGTGTTTATAGTACTCGTAATACTATATTGAGTGACAACAAGCTGTGGAGGTATAGCATGAATGGTAAGTCAATCGGTGGGTGTTATCGATGTCTGGCATTTGATGTCAAACACTGTATTAAATGTCAATAATATGTGACAAAAGTCTTTACAATAAGAAAAACAATAATAACTGCAAATGTGTTGTAAAATTGTTTTGTGTTACTATAGTTACGTGTATTATATAAATAATAATCAATTGATCAAATGATTTGCATATTTATTAGTTTGACTATAATTTCAAATAATATCATTAGTTAGCAAATTAACAAAAATATTATTTATTTATTCAATTATTTTTAAGTTATTAATTAAAATAATAATTCTTATATGTTTTGTTAATACATATTTATATAATAATTAAAATATATAAATGTATTGTACATTTTTATATGTCTTATAAAAATTAGGTATTAATTATATGAGAAATATTATATTGTATAATATTATACTGTACTGTACTGTACTTTATAATATTGTATTGTATAGCCCCTATAGTATAGGCTATTATTAATACTTATAAATTATAAGTTATAATATACAGAATAATTATATTGAAACAATTATTGTATAAATCTTAACATTTGTACTGACTTTAATAAGTTAATAAAATGTGTATTTTATAATAATTAAACAAATATGATATACAGTGTGGGTATTAATAAAGTGTTTAATGTAAATAACAATTTTTTTTTATTTGTTTTATTACATTTGATAAGATTTTACTTAAATGATAAATAAAGTGATCATAAAATTTTTGCGATTTCTATATTTCATTTATAAACCATAATTTTAACTTTTATTTTCACCAGTATAATCAGTATTTAATTTAATAATTTATTTTTAGTGTATTTAATAGATACTGCTTTTAATTGTTAAATCATTATTTACTTTTTAAATCTAAATGAATTATTTGACACTTTTAATAGATTTTCATAATTCACTTTTGATATTAACTTAAATGACATTTTTATAATCCTAATTCTTATCTCTATTATTTGAATATATAATTTTAAAAAATAGTTAATTCAATGATTTACTTATATTTTCAAACAATAAAAAATTAATTAGAAATTATTTTTAACCAAATCAAATAATTATTTTATTACAGTAATATCTATTTGTACTTTGGTTTTAACCCATTTAGTATATGAATCCTTTATAAATGAGTAAACAAAATAACTTTTATCAGACTTAAAGGACTCATTATTCAAAATTTGAATTTCAAATATATTTTTAAATATATTGTGAATATTATTATATACTGTATTTATACTTTGAACTACAATAATATATTTTTATTTTAAATCACTATATGTTACATACATTATTACTTACTATAACAGAACCCAGAATCGTGAAAAATATAGGGGAAACCTGTATTGTATGTGACTCTAAATTTATGATATATTGTATTAATAAATTAAAATATATATTATACATAATAAATAACATTTGTTTTAATAGTTTTTAATTTTACAAATTTTATTATAAATATTTAATGTATATTCACTTTAAGACCCGTTAGTGTCTATTCTGATACAACGTTACTGAAAATAACATCAAATAAATCATATTTTTGTTATTTAATTAATTTAAGTGTTTGTTCTGATAATTATTGATTTAAATACTGTATAACAAACAGATTGTATAAATATTATGTTTTATTTATAAATTATATGTAGACTATAATAAAGTAGACAACATAATAATTTTAAAAAATCTAATTTAATATACTGAAAATAATTAAATATAATAAATAATTGCAAGAATCTAATGTTTTATTGATGATAAGTAATATAATACAGTATATGAATATTTAAAAGATATCTTAATTTATTGAATAAATGTTAGTAAAATTTAAGCAAAATACAGTAAATCGTTTTAATAAACTTTTGATATTTTAAATTTTCATTAAATTTTTAAAACTATTAGATTTCAAATTATTTCTTCGTATTTGATATCACAATACAATTACAGAATCTATTTTTGAACGGCAATACTAACGGCCCACTCGTTGCTAATCTAATGATTGTGACCGCTATAGGGCTCGTATTAACAATTTCTACAAAGAATAACATTATTACTATAATATTATGTAATCTACTCATCAATAATTATATTCAGTATTAATCAACGAAACAATAGCTTATTATGTTCAGTACATAACAACAGATTATTTTTAATATTTTATGTCTAAGTCTTAAAAAACGTTGTCTCAAAGTATTTCAATTTATTTCAAATTAATAATAAATAGATCTTAGATTTTTATGATTTATAGTAGTATTTAGAAATAAATTTCTAATTAAATTTGTAGATTAATTATTTTTTAGAAAAGTGATAGTTTTTAATAATTTATCTGAATTATCAAAACTTAAAATACATTATTAATAAAAATTATGGAATAATTGTCTTATTTTAGTAACAATTATATTATACCTATGTATACCAATATAACTATGAAATTATAATTATATTTTTCTTTTTATTTTATTATATATCGGTTTAAAATAATTTAATAGTAAGAGATCATCCATTGAGTAAATATTTTTTGATAATTTTATAATAATAATAATACAGTATATAAAACATTTATAATTTATTAAATTTTTTTTGTTTTATTACTATTTAAAGTTAAAATTTAACAGAAATTTACTTAAATTTTATAAACAATAGTACAGTACTTAACTATACAAAAAGAGTATAGATATAAATATGAATTTAGTTTAAAATAAATTGTAAATAACAAATAAGATTTTTGTTTATAATTTTAACAAATTTATTTTCTTAAATCAATATAATAATTATAATAACATGCTCTTCAGTTTTAAACAATAAAAGTTAACAATTATTATTTTGAAAAACTTTTATTTATTAAAACAAATTTATATAATGATTTACAATGTTTAATATTATATATATATATAATTTATGTAATAATTGAGTTGTATTCTAATAATTGTCATTATAAAGGTTACATTTATATTAATTATGATAATTTTGAAATTAAATAATTATTAACATAAATAAATAATATATAATTTTGAAAAATTATTTCATCATTTGACTGAATCATTGGTAGCCATCAATTGATTGCCTGATTCGCACTGAAGAATATTAAATGTTTCTCTCTATTGGTTTGAATATTAATGTAAAATTTAAATTTAATTATTATTATAAGATTAATTAGTAAATTATATAATTATAATTTAATAAAATAATTTTATAAATAGTTTTATAAATTAATATTTATTAATAATCAATTTAAGTTATTATAAATGAAGTTTGTTGTTAATAAAAAATGAATAAAACTTTAAAAAAAAACTATGAATAATTATTATTATTATTTATTTTATTATAAAATTATAAAACTATAAAATTAAAAATAATGTAATATATTATTATTAAAATTGTAAGCATAATAATACTGACTTTAATTAACTCTTTAATTTTAATGACAGCCACATCAGTCATTTGTTGACAATCATAGTTATTAAGAGACCGTTTGCCTCCCGGACGCCAATCCTTTGAGAAAGTAATTTGTGCTGAAGTCATGTCCACAAAAACAATTACTACTAATACTAGACCCACAATATAAATAATATTTGAACTGATTTTAGCCATTATTTTGAACACAATTTTATTATTATTATTATAGTAACTATTTATAGGACTAAACTATAAGACTAGACTTTAAATTTTTTTGGGATTACTTTTATATAATGTTACAACAGTGGAGACGAGTGGCTACTTATATATAGATTGTACTCAAATGTAATCAAATGGCAACTCCTCCTCAATATCTTCGCTGATCTCTCCGTCTCTAATCTACTGTAAAAAAGTTAAGTCAAATAAAGATAAAAAATTAAAACGAAAAATTAGTTTTAAAATTGAAAACATGAATTTCAACTAACTTTTTATTATTTACCGATTGAATTGAATGATATAGTGATTATTGATGAAAGTCACATATACTTAGGATTTTAGTTTTAAAGCAATAGATATTTTCAAAGTAAAATAAATCACATTTTAATGTATGCTATACTATTGTAAATTAACATAAAATATTATTTTTTATATAAATTTATGTAAATTTTATTTCAATTTATAATATTTAGTATATGAATTCAATAATTTTGTAATATCTAAGTTATATGTCTATAAATCCTATGGGTATATAGAAGAAAGATTATGAATTTTTTACATTAAATAAATATGTTATTTATAGTTAAAAATATTTTAAATAACTTAAAATAATATAATTTTCCAAATTAAATACTCGAATGCTATTAATATTTAGTACACTAATAAAATTATTTAAGTTGAAAATAATATAGAGAATAATTTTAAAAAGTTAAATTTGTATATGAATTAGTATATTGTAAAATAATTTATATAAAAATAATTTTGTAATAATTAAGTAAAGTATTAGTCATAAGTAAGCTTCGGAAAAATTAGGCCAAAAATGTGTCGCGCGATAAATTAAAATAATATTAACAAATTTGTAGTTAACATGTTTTATTAATTAAATTAATTAATTAAAACACATTAACAAATATAAAAATATTTTAACTACAATTCTATAATTATTAATTATTGTTAATTATGTATCTCGTATTACTTTATATTAGTATAATATGTTTGTACAAAAATTAGTATTTATTGAATATTTTTATTTATCACTGCATATATTAAAATAGTTTTATGTTTTGGTCCCCAACAATATATTAATATCTCATACATAAATAATATTTATATTATTTATTTAATTTATATATTTAAAAATAATTAATAATAGTTCGAGAGGTAATAAATGTATGAGTATTTCAATAATGTTTCAATCATTCTTAACGGGTCTCGCGATTATTATAATTATTTATAATTAATTTATAAAAATACAAAATTAAATTAATAAATTATAATTATAGAGACTGAGTGGGTGTGTAAAATAGAGAAAATAGATGAGTGAGTAAGCGGGTTAGAAAGTGATATGAAAAAATGAGAGGGGTTAGTAAATAAGCAGGTTAGAAAATGAACAGAGAGAGAGAGAGAGAGAGAGAGAGAGAGAGAGAGAGAGCGGGTTAGATAATAAGTAGGTAAAAGTGAGTGAGTAATAGAGAAACAAAACAAAAAAAGTAAAATTAAATAATTGTATATTTTATTTGTAATTTTGATAAAATAGAAATATATTACCGGTATATTACTTTTTTAATCGCATAATAAAATGGGAATGAACTATTTTTTATTAAATAAAAATGATATACTGTATAATAAATTTGTAAATATATATGATATATAAGTACACTATATAAAATTATAATAAAACTACTACAGTATATCAATATAAAAAGTCAATAATATGTAATATAAACTTTTTAATAGAAAAATTTGGGAAACTTTCCTAATCATGAATTTTATATGAAAAAAATAAAATATTTACAAAAATAAATAGTTTTTTTAAATAATTATTTAGCTAAATTTTATTTATATTTAGCAATCTTAATAACATTGTTATCAAATGTAATTATAATTATATTAAATGTCCAGTTGATTTATTTGATTATTACTATTTTATCTCTAATTAATAAATATCTGCTTTAATTGTGTTACAAAATAAATTTTAAAAATCTTGTCTTATTATTTGGGAATATAATGAATATGAAATTTCGGGAAAATGTTAATATAAAATATAAGTCCTATCGAAACCTTTTTATGAGAACCTCTATAATCTACTGAATGATGCAATGACTTAACAATTATATTTGAATTTATAAAAATTTGAAAATTTTTGCTTTTAAATATTTACTTAGTAAACAATTTTAAAATCAAAAAATCTTAACATATTTGATATACTGTACAGTATTTTAATATATGAATATCTAAAACTAATTGAATATATGATATACGGTAGTCTAATCAATATTTTATACAGTAATCCTAATTTTAATTGGTTTATAAATTATATTAATATATAAAATCTTTAAATAGAATATTATTGTATGTACTGTACATTTATATTAATTATTACCGGTATTATGTAAATAACGCCTACATTTAAAACCTACAAAACTTTTTAATAGTAAAATTTTGAATTACAAATTTATCATATTATATACAGTATCAGCAAAATAATGTCAATCCTATAGTTTATTCAAATTAAAACATTAATTTTACAAAAATAATAACCAAACAATATTTATAACATACATTAAAAACAATTTTTATCACTAAAACAATTATTTAAGTAATTATAGACAAAACGATAATAAGTTAGTAAAACATTAACAAATAAAACAATAAACTGAGAATTAATATTCATATTCAGATATGAATACCATAACAGTTGCCAAATTTCGGCCAATTTGTAGACCATTTTTATACATTTTGGCCTCAATTTCCAGTTCAATGTCTTGCGGGCCCTCCAATGGATTTAACATAACTATCTTCACCTCATTATCTTTGGTTCGTTTGAGGAAAAAGTCCTCACGAGTTGCGGGCTTCACATGAAGATGTGGCGACTTTACCGATATTAATCGGAGACCAAATTCAGCAATTATTGGCGACTCTATTGGTACAATAAATGTAAAAAATTCATGGGAACCGGTCTCTGATTTCAGCAAAAATTTTGATCGGAACGGTATGTAAGCGTATGAATAGCATATAATTTGGTTGACATTACACTTGATGTGTGGGTCGTCACAGATTTCAGCGTATATCAGTCTTTGAGTTATTTTGCATTGACTATAGTTTTATACATTAAATTAAAAATTAATTTCAATTTGTTAATTAAAAAATCAAATATTATTATCCATACGCTCCGTCTCTATGATATCCTGGCGGACAGTCCGTATGAATACATCTAAAGCTACCGCCAATGTTCACACAGGTCTGGTTGTGTCCGCGACAGTAGTTATGTTCACGACATTCATCAATATCTAGAAAAATATCACAAATTTTTAGATTACAATATAATAATTGTATAACTATTATGAATGACATACCGACACAGTGGTGGTCATGAATCAATTTATATCCGTGAGGACACGTACAATGGTATGATCCCAAACTGTTTTCGCAATGTCCCTGACATAACTTTGGTACTCCAACCTCTGTTTTGAAGCGACTATAGGCCACAGTGTTAATGTAGTCGCCTTCATGACACTCATCTACATCCTCGCATCGGTGGTCACCGACCAAACGGTAGCCGCGATTGCAAAGACACTTATATGAGCCAAACGTATTGACACATTTTTGTTGGCAAAGGTATGTGTGTTCAGAGCACTCGTCGATATCCAGACAGTTCTTGCGGCTGCCGTCGTCACGGAAGCCAAGTTTACAGTCGCAGTAATAAGAGCCGGGAGTATTGACACACGTAGATGTCTCAGGTGTACATAAGTGGGTTGACCCATATTTGGCGCATTCGTTAATGTCCAGACATGTTCGGCCATCGGGTGATAACTCGTAACCGGTAGGACACGAGCACTCATGTGAACCAAATTTATTGATGCATACATGAGAACAGCCACCGTTACCAATGAGACATTCGTTGACATCCACACATGTCTTACCGGTGCCGTCGTGTTCAAAGCCACCCTTACAAATACAGGCATAACTGCCCGGAATATTACGACAATATGAAGTCTCAGCGGGACAGACATGTGAATGAAGACACTCATCGATATCCTCACAGACTGGACCATTCAGCCGATACCCTGGAGGGCATTGACATTCATGACCTCCGGGTCTATTAAGACATGTTTGTTGAGGTCCGCAAAGATGAGTGCCTTCAATACATTCATTAATGTCTTCACATGAATTGGTCAGAACATTGAGTCGATAACCAGATTGGGTGCAGATTTTGCGACAAATGTATGAGCCGTGAGTGTTGATACAGGACTCGTCGTGAAGACACACGTGTCGCTCGCATTCATTAATGTCAACACATTTCAAGTATTCATCGCTGAATGTAAAGCCGACATCACAGTCAATATGTTTGCAATGTGTGCCGTCGGGTGACAAGTAGTGTCCCTGAGGACATGCCGTAATGCGTTTTGTCTGACGCGGCACGTGAATCACATCCACGTGCTGTTGGACCACTTGAGGTATAACATCAACGTGTTGTTGAACCACTTGTTGTGGTATAACATCCACGTGCTGTTGAACCACTTGGGGCACAACATCCACATGCCTTTGGACGACAACCGGAGCAGTTGAACGGCATTGAGCTGATGCAGGACAGGGAGATGAACTCAACCGACAGGTTCGGTAGCGGCAATTAGTATTACGAAATACAGAAACCACGTCTGTTGGACCCGATTGTATCACTTGCTGGACACCGACTAGACATTGAGGCAGTATTAGAGCTAAAACATAAATATTTTAAAACATTATTCAATATTCATACAATATTTTTTACATTTAAAAACTTAATTAGCAATTAATAATTAATGTATGATTTACTAAATATTTTTTATCATTGAACTATTGTAACAATTAATAACAATTAAATCGCCTACAGTTTTGTAGGAGAAATCCTTATCTTAAACTTTGCTGTAACTCAAGTGTAAGGTTAGACATCGCAAATGCTAAGCGCCGTTACCTAAAACTAACTAATCTTCATAATCTTAATTCAATGTTAGTCTCAATGATAGTCTCAATGATAGACATTTAATTAATTTTACTTTTAAATAAACTTTAATTTAGTTTATTATTAGTATTTAAAAAATCATATATTAATAAATTAATAAAATTAAAAATAATTATTAAATAAAATTAAGATAAAATTTTTATTTTATTTAGAAACATATTTTTAAAAAATGATCATCGTTGTTTTTAAGAGTTTACAACTTAATCAATTTGTCAATATTGACATTTATTGTACTTTATTTTTAAATACTTTAATAGTTTAAATAAATAATGTTTTTAAGTAGAATAAGTCACAAAAATCAATTATAGGTTAAAATATTTAGGTTATTTATTTTTAAAAAATATTGAAATATTCAAGCATTTATAATACTTATATATAATGTAAAATACTGTTTATAAAAATTAAATTAAACTTATAATTAGTATACTGTTAGGTAAATTTTGTTAAATGATTAATTGACATATTAATGTGAAAATAAACATATACATACCAAGACAAAATAATATAATGTAATTGATTGTCATTATTAATTTGGACACCGATTAAGAGATTATCATTAAAGTTGATGTGATGTCTCAGTCAGACACATACAGACATTAATTTGTATGACAGAGATATTGAGAAATATAAAACAAGACAACAAACAATTAATGTTATAATGAGGTGTAATTTAATTTAAATTGACGATAACTAGCGATATTCAACTATTTTTCTACTGAAATCCTAATAAAACTTTTAATTGTCACTTATATGACAAATATATTCAAATGCTTTCGCTATTAAACACACAAATTTCACACTAAAATGTGATGCAATTTCCTAATAGAGAGAGAGAAAGAAAAAAGGTATTTAAAATCTAAAGCTACGATAATCATGAAAACTAATGAATGGTAAAAATATTAGTCACAATCTTTCATTGAAATTAAATATTATTTATCTATCAGTTTGTGGGCGATATTATAGTCAGGCCTTCTTTGAAGAATTGGAGAGTTTTACAACAAAAAAATCTTTTATATAATTTGCATGTTTTTGAAGGACATCGAGTTGTCAATTGAGATATTTGTTGTATTAAAATCTACCTGTGCTTCTCATTTTCATATATTTAAAAGTAGGAATATGTTAACTGATGAATGAGTTATATAATTCTCACTTTATTTGGATATATATTTATGATGAGAGGTAACACATCAGGTCTCAGTAAAGATCGTATTATAATTAAATAAAATTGTTTTGCATTGTGTGTATAACTCTTTAATAGCAATAATAATAATAATCAAAATACAAATACAAATGGCATTTAATTGGTGGCAGTTTATTATCACTGCTTCAAGGATACCGTAATTATCATAATTTTTAAAAAATATATATATTTATGTTTTCCAAATACTTTTATTACTATTATATTAAGAATTGTAAATAATATTGAAATAATACATATATTGTACTATATTTTTTGATAAACAATTATTTTTGAGAAACGAATTCTTGCAACAGAATTGTGTAAAATTGAATTCATGCCATAATTTTAATTAAAATTGGTTTATATTATTATTTTTTTATTAACAAATTTGCCAATTTTGCAAATTTATTGACCATTTATAGCCATTGGTCTTATTGTGTAAATGTGTGTGTGTTTGGCATTTGAAAACTATTAATAAAATATTTTTAAAAATAATAATAATAATCACGACATGACATGAGTGGGCGCTATATTATACAGTATTTTTTATTTACACAAACTTTGGCTATAAATACTGTATAACTGTTGACTACTGTTTAATATTAGTTATTATTTTAATATTGACTCCAAACATGGTATTAAATATTCAAAATTTTCAGTTTTATTTATTTAATGACCACACAATCTATTCCAATGTCTAGTCATTGAAAATAATATTTTTATTGCTATTTTTGACATTATTTGATAAAGGGTAATTCACATATTACGTTCGCACTTGAGGGGAGGGGGCCGACCAAAGCGAACTTTTTGCGAATGAGAGGGAGGGGAGGGGTAGAGACATTAAGAACATTCGCATTTAGATAATATTTTATTTCTTGTGGTGGTGGGGGGGGGGTTAGCGGTTAGGGACACGCGAACGTATTTTTTTAAATGACTACATGCGAACAATTGTGAACATAGGGGAGGGAGGGGTCTAGATTTCTTAAAAAGTGCGAACGTAATATGTGAACAGCCCCTAACAATGAATATTAATACAGTTCTATATATAAATACAAAAGTTGCTATCCAATGTTTAATTAAATAATGTTATTAATATTTACAATAATTTTATAAATATAATTATAATAAGTTAATATGTGTATTAAAATATAATTTTTGCATATATTTTATAATGTGAATACTTTTTTAACAATAGATATAATTAGTTTATTTGTACATCATTTTTGTAAATTTTCTAAAAACAAGTGAACTATATATCAAACAAGAAAATATTTATAAAAAAAATAAATAACTATTTCAATAACTATTTGGCTTTTTTTGGCAACTATTTACAATTATTGAGAAGTTTTTCTAAATAAAAAATATATTTAAGTGAAAATGGTTAAGATTATAATAAAAATAATTTTGAATATTATTTTATCAACTAATTTAATCAAAATTAATGTAATTATTTGTAAATATTTTTAAAAAAGAAATAACTATTTTAGTAACTATTTGGCCCTTTTTAGCAACTATTATAACAATCATTTAATACAGTTTAAATTCTGATAATCAATACTTTATTTATAACTATATTTTTAATTAATTAATAAACTTTTAGAAATTTAATTCTTAAATGTAAAAAAGTTTGATAAAATTATGTAGAAATATATTTTAACATTTATTAAAGACATAAAAGAGTATAATATATTATATTATATTTTAATAGTTATATTTTTTTATAATAATATATATACTAAGTTTAAAATAAAGACCTTCAAAATGAATAGACTATTAAATATTTTAAGACAAAGAAATTTAAAAAAAAAATTTTATTTATGTATTTAACAAATAAGTCATTAATACGACATAAGATGCCTTATATAAATAATAATGTATTATTTTTTAGAAAACACCCAAAAATTAAGACAAACCTTGATAATAAAACATTTCAAAAATTATTTAGTATAAATTAAAAACAATTTAATATTATAATTAAAAAATTATTGATTTAAAAAATACAACACTTATAATTTAATATATAGTTATTTATTACATATACAGTACAGACAAAGATTTTATAAATTATAAAAAAAACATTATTTGCAATACACTACTGTAATTATAAATGATTTTGTTTTTATAATTAAAGTTTATTATAAAAGCATATTTTATAAATATTTATTAAACAAAAATTAATTTTAAGCATAATTTATTATTAAGTGCAATGAAAAATGTTTATTTGGAATAATTAACTGATTTAATTAAAACATTAATTATTAAATTTTATTATTGCTTTCAGTTATAAATCTTAATGACTTAATTAATACAATTATTGAATAAAGTGTCAAACAGCAAAAAAATAATTAATTAATTTAAATGATAAACAAATTTATTGGAGCAAAACTATACACAATATATATACCATTTTTTACCATTTATTAACATTTTTATAATTTTATTTCCTTGTTTTAAATTTTATCTACTATTCAAATCTTAAATAATATTTATACCATTTTAATAGAGTAGCTTTAATATACAGTCAATTATTACTAATGATTAACTTAAAAGTTTATCTCTATTAAAGATATATTTTTATATGTTTATAAATAAAATTCATCAATCATTTTTTCATATTATTATTAATTTTATTATTAAAACATTTAAAAAGTCTTCCTAAAAAATTAACCAAATTTCATTGATTTTGAGAGCATTTAAATTGTTTGACTATACATTATATATATACAATATACTGTACAATAATCTATAAAATAAAATAATTTTCCTGTATATGTTAATCACTATTAGACCTAACCCTGAACCAGTATTAAAAGTGTGCATAAATTTACAGATAGCGTATGCATTTGGGATAGTATTCGGTTAAACAGGTAATCAATTGTTATTTATATTAAATATCTAGTAAACCATACATTCAATTTAAAAATGGCCAAGGGGATAATTGTAAATAATATTAAACTCAACATTATTGTAATTGATTATTTTTTGATTAATTGTAAAATTAACTAGATAAGTCAATTATACTATGTCGATGCTATTATCTAGTTTATTTTACAATTAATCGAAAAATAATCAATTACAATAATGTTAAATTTAATATTTTCTACAATTATACCCTTGGTCATTTTTAAATTGAATGTATGGTTTACTAGATATTTAATATAAACAAACAATTGATAACCTGTTTAACCTAATACTATCCCAAATGCATACGCTATCTTTATCTATACTTTTAATACTGCCCTGAACTCAATACTAATCTTTCAAACCTGATTTCACTTTTATTTTGAATAGACAATATCATGTTATACATTCATAAATATATAAATATATTTATGCTGTATATATATATATATATATATATATATATATATATGATAGAGTATATTTAAAATCTTTAAATTTAAAATATTTAAAGTTGATCTACATATTTAACTTGAATAAATATTACGAAAAATATCTTTTATTTAGTTTTGCTTATAGTTATTATACTCTCATAGATTGACATATATTCATGTTTGCCAATCAAATAATAAAATCAACTATAATTAATTTAGACAAATTATTGGTTGTGATATAAAACTATAATTGATAATTTAAGTAAAACATATATTTACATAAAATTATGATTATTTACATTAAATGTTTACTGTATTTATAGTTATATATATATTATTGAAAATAAATATCAAACAAACAAATGAACAAAATTTAAGTGATTTAAATAATTGTCATCAAAACTCAAATACATATAATAACATTTTAAGAGTTATTTTACAATAGATTATTAAACTATTTATTAACTTTTAATTGATATGTAAGACAGATAACACGTTTATTTAGATTACTATTAAATTTTTGGTTCAATTGTAATGATTTCAAGAATATACCGTATTATATAATGCATATTGAATAACAATGAAAGCTAACCAAACATTATAATTAGTTGTACTATAATTTAATTGTAATAATTACCTAAAAAACTATTAGAAAAATTATTAAAAAGATATGGCTTTTAAAACAATTATTGTAATACAATACAGATCGTTAAGTTGTCATTTAATGAGAAATAAGTTGAAAAATAATAATTTAAAACAGTTTTCTAATGGCCGCGAGTATACCGTTCCAGGTTTCCAGTGCTGTCGGCATTATCTGATCGGCCGGTAGTAGAAATCCGTGCACACCTTTGTCCCGGAGTTCGCATAAATAGGTATTAGTTATGCCTAACTTTGTGTAAATCCAGTCCATCATAAATCCTGAGCCAACATATAAAGACTGACCTAATGGTCCGATTTGATACTTGACACCATTAGTCTTGTAGACTGCGTTTTGTATATCTTGCAGTACATCCATGTGATGGTCGTAATGGATCGATGAGCTCTTGGTATAGGCATAAGGAGAGGCCCAAAGTTGATTGAAAGAGTGCAATGAAATGGACAGTTTGATACGGTTCTTGAATTTCCAGAGCAAATCGCTAACTGCCTTAACCTCTGGTTCCGAGAAAGGTGACGGTCCTTCATATAGGAATGAACAGGGGTTAGAACTGCCGCCCTCACCACCAAAGTTGATATCATAATTGCGGTTCAGATCAACACCATTGCATCTGTCGGGCATTGGAGTGCTCACTAAAGTACTGGCACTGTATGGTCGCCGGTTTTTACGCCACAATCGGTCCGTATTCCAGGTATACTCATACCCGTCCACATTAATAATAGGAACAATTATGAAATTTTGTTTTAAATTATCACTGATAATGTTGTCTATAATAAACAGTGCTGTGGCCACTGTTATCCATTCCCGTGCGTGAGTGCACCCGTCGATCCATATATAGTCACTACTTTTGGGATTATTCTTGATTTGCACAGCTTTTATAGGCCTTCCCTCATGGCTTATGCCAATATCAATCACATCAACATTGCTTAATGTACTAATTGTCGATAGATAACGGTTTACTTGACTAAGTGGGTGATACCTGTCCAACGCAAACGATGGCACCAGAACTGATTGTCGGCCCTTTAGGAAACTTAAGTGACTACTAGAGCTGCTCGAGTCGCTCAACATTTCTGTGTTACCGATCCATGACTGCAGGTTATCAGTGACAATACTGGCACCACTTCTGCTAAACCACGGGGCGCTCCGTATTTTGCGGACATGACTGGTCTTTAAGCGTACAAAAGCGTACGAAGAGTTGTTGCTCGAAGTGTCGACCCATAAGATGTCAGGCTTTAAAATAACGGTTCAAAAAACATTTTAAAATTATATAAAAGATTACGGCATTTGACTTTTAGGCTTATCTAATGGTTTGTATTGATTATGATTACATTACAGGTTAATTGCTAAACACAACATTACTTTTACTTATTTTTTGATTAATATCGCATCTCTCACCTCATACTCAGGTGAATTGATCTCATTATGATCTGAATGGCCATTCAAGAGGTGTAAGTGCTCGTGACGTAACTTTACAATTGAATGTCTTTATAATAAAATTAATTTCATTTAATGTTATCATAAAAGTTGTATAGTATTGATAGCGTAAAAAATTATAAAAATTAATCAGTTTTCCTTATATTTAAAAGTGTAAGTAAATAAGTGTAAGTGTTTGAATTAAAGTCATTGAAAAAATATTTAAATTTGGGCTTAACTTATATTTTAGAATTATTAAATGTTTCAATTTATATATTTTTATTTTATAGTCATTTAAGGTTATTTGCAATATTAATTTTAGTAAATTATTTAATAAAACTATAATTAATGCAATAAATTGCATTATCATTGTTTATAGGAAAACAGTCTCTGCATTAATATTTAAATTTATTGTTTTTAACAATATTCAAAAAAATCTTATTTATTACTATTTATTTTATACATTTTAAAATTTATAAATAATATTGATGGCTAAAATTTAAATTGAATAATTGTTTAATATTTACACAAATAAATAAATATATAAATTTTAAATATGAAAATATTGTTTAAAAATATTTTATAATTATTTATAGTTTACATGCGAAATGGATAATAAATTTACTATAAATATTAAATCTTTTTAAACGTTTTAAATTATAATAAATAAAGTTTAGACAACTTTAGCAAATGTTGTTTTAATATCTATTTTAAAACTATTATTATTACTTAAGGCAACATTTAATTTAAAATTAATTTATTTTGAATGTACAATATATATAAAAATATAAATATATATAACTCTAATGCTTATTAAAAATATAATCAGTAAAATAAAAATTAAAGTTAATTTATAATAAATTAATATAATTAATATATAGCGTTAACTACACGACACGCTTATACGGTATAAACTTATTTATAGTAAGATTAGGACTTACTTTGAATAGTTGGTTGGAGTGCCAGTTGAGTGACATTTTGCTGTTATCAATATAATTAGTAAAATCACTAAACTATTGCTATAATCAAATAAATGATTGAATTTATACATTCGTATGGTTTAGAAGAGTCTTATAGTTTGTCTCAATACTAAACATATCTCGATTTGACACAAATTCATATGACATTCCATTTGATGTGAAATACGTTTATATAGAATACAAGTAATACTATTCATTCAACACAACTATACAGTCTATACTACTGTACTGTATATACTATATAGCAGTTCATCATATGATTGACTAATTAGAACACAGGTTTGACTATTCATATGAATAGCATTAAACACAACACACACTCCATCTGTTGGGTTAGACTTCACTGCAACACATGTTTGACTTTTAAACACAAATAACATGTCTTTTGTTTGTTTTTAACCATTGGATCAATTGATGGACACAATCAATGACAACGAGACCAACGACGACCACAAGACTATAACGTTTAGTGAATTAAGGGATTCACTGATTGGTCCAAACCGTATAAGAAGTAATAATATGTTAATACCGGTGACATTGGGTGGACAGACATTGAAGACGAGGGATGAGCTAATGATCGAGAGGACAGTCGAGAGCTGTACTTTCAAGACTGGTCTGAGTTGTGTTGTTGGCCATTGAATGTACCATTGAATCGGTATATTGCATGTCATTTAACTGATGATTATATATACATAATGGACAACATCGGGCAAACACTGAAAGCATAATCCCTTAGATTATCCGTCTGTTAATCTCTACTCGGATTATAAGATAAGCATTTTAAAAGTGTTGATCACATTTCATCTTAAGAGTCAATGGAAGAATAGTACGATGGCTGGAAGTGTCACCGTAGGACTCATTGGATTAAGAGGTTTGGATTATTATAATGTTTGTTGACTTATGGCTTATATGTTATCTTAACTGATCCATAGCCGGAGTCAAAGGTGTGGTATTAGGCGCCACCGGTTTTGTCGCATTTTCCACTATTATTGACAAATCTATACTATTATATAATTTGTTGAATGTTTGTATCAAATTTGTGTGACGCAAACAATTCAATTTAATGTGTCGGCGATTAATAAAAAATTAATAAATAAAATATACTTTTTATAATAAACTGTAAGCGCGTAAGTATTGTTGCACGTGTTAACTATTTCTTATGCATGTTGCTCATGCTACATTTTATTACGTGGAGATCTAACTAGTATTTACATAATTATAATCATAAAAAATATTGATTTAAAATTTATTATTTTATAATTTGATATAAAACTATAAAACAAATACCGGTATCTACCAGTAAATACTGGTACCAGTAAATACCAGTACCGGTAATAACAAGTGTCGGTATAATAATCACATCTATAATATAGATTCAATATATTTGCTTAACAATAGATATATCAAAAACATTGAATACATATTTGTATAAAATTCAAAAAATTGTTTCAATAAAATTTTTATTCAAACTAAACTATTTGTATGTTTTTATTAATGCATCTATTATTGTATTATATTTGGTGGGCCCCTCCTGGATGTACTGCAATTCCAGGCCAACCCATAGCAAAGCAGGAGCACAGCCCCTTGACTTCGCTGTCCCGCAAAAATTAGTTTAATATCTTGACCCCCAATGGGAGTCGTATCAGATATTAAGCTGATAAGAACAGATACTACACTTTGATCTTAGCCAAAAGGCCGAGAAGCGATAACATACCACTCCTTAACACTACTGTCCCCACATTTTTCAATATATATATCATTACAACCCATATTATAATCAAATTAAGTTAAATAAACTAAATTTCTAATATTTGCATAAATTTTTTATTTATTTAAAGTAAATATATATTTAGTATAATATTTTATATACAATTTAATGATATAATTGATATTATTATTTTATTTAATTAATAAATTGTCATTAAATATAATCATGTATTTAATAAATACTAATAATTTATTATTGCTATAAACAGATGGCAATCAAATACCATCTATTAGTACAACACTTTGAGTTTATAAATGTTATAAACTTTTATTTAAAAATACATTAATTGATTGATTGATTGGTTTAGTGGTCAGATTGTTGGTGAAGACTATCGGTAATTGTGGTCAAAGTGAGGTCACATGTGCTGAATAACCGATCAAATGTTTGTTTTGTCTTTTATTACATCTTTGTTGACATTTAATCGATGAGTTGTTTTTTGTCCGATTGTCGGCAATTACCGACCGATAGTTGTGGTCACTAATGCATTGTTACACTGAATGTGGTCTCATTTGGTGATCGTTTGTTGGATACAATCGATGATAAGACACAACTTTTTTTCTAAATTGGTATTCAATCTAATTGTTAAATACTGAAGAAAATGATTGAATTAATTGATTGTTTAATCAATTATTAATCAAAAAATAAAATTTTAATTTATTTTTAATAGATTAGTGAATATAATAATGATATCAATGGATGTGATGTCCTATAAGTGTATCATTTAGGCGGTTGTGGTAATGGTTTGGACGGTTGAAGTTTACGACTATTATTGTCATAGTTTTCATACTTCTTGAATGAGTTCAACCGCATAGTCTCTACGGCCTCTATTTGTATATAACCGGCCGAATCGTATGGATATCTCTGACCATTGTCTACGGCGGCCACACTTTCAGCTATACATGAATCGGACAAATGGTTATCATTGAAGCCTTGATTTACGCTATCAAAGTATAATTGATTTTGATTTGCTCTGTGATGGACATTGTTGTGATGAGTACTGCCCACCAATTGTCTGTCCACTGGATGGCCGACCACTCGTTTTGGTTTTCGGCGTTTTTGTATGTAATAAATGACACCAATTGTGATCAATATTCCCAATAAAATACCTAAAAATATGTACACAAAGTGTATTGTATTTAATGAGTTATTTGTTTGGTCAGTATTTAGCGCCGGGAACTGTGGATATGGATATAATGTGGTCTGCGGTCGTACTACTGGTGGATACGATGGATATATCACTTCAATTTGATTTTGTGTCTCAGTTGACTTAGTATCAGCTAAAGTGGACTCAGTTGTTGAAGTTGTTTCATATTTTATTGATTCAATTGTCGTCTCTGAAGTATATTGATTGATACACTTCGGTAATTCCTCAGACCACTGGCCATTTGACTCGCACTCGCGTTTTGTCGTACCATTGATTTTAGTTGAATTATCGATGCACTCAAATGTGGCTACAGTTCCCACAACAGCTTCAGTTGTACTCCACATCCAATTGTACGACACTTTTAGGTTATAGTCATTTAGTTGTTCCACATTACAGGTCATGTTAGGCACACATTTAGGCAATCTTTTTATGGACCACTCCTCATGAGGTGTACACACAATCTCTGGTGATGAGGTACGGCCTCTCTCGTGGATTGAAAAGTAGTCATTGCATTGGTATTTGTATTTCATGATTGTATTGCTATTCAAATCCTGTTTAATAGCGATTACTTTACCAAACGCGGGAACATCTGGTCTAAAGCACTCATCGTTTACCGCTTCGTAGAGTTCAATAAACTCGATAACCGCCGGACACGACACGAGTTCACAGTTTCGGAACTTTTCGCTAAATGTAATCAAAATCCATGAAACAGATGAATGCATCCAAATATCGGTGTTTTTTGTGGGACAATGAAATAATGTTGAAAATCTTTTTGTTGAATGATAGGGAATCTGATCCTTAACTGTTATATTAGCTATATAGCAGTCTGGCGCCGGTATGTTTTTAATGTTGACCACATCTATCGCTTCCAATGATGAAACTTTTACTACTAGTCCTGAAATACGAGTTTTTGTGGCAAGAGATACGTTGATTGCATTGCCATTAATTGTATAGTTATATTCATAGCCTCCCGTATAAAGAGTTGCTAAATAATTTTATTTAAGTAATAATTAATTAATTTAATTATGTGTTTGAATTTATGTATTTTTAACAAATAGTTACCGCATTTAGGTATGGTATTAGTCCACTCCCCGTTCAAACACTGGCGTTCACTGTGTCCGATGATAAACGGCGCGTCATTATAGTCGCAACTAATTTGAGATTATTTTTTATATAAATTATTTTAATTATTATTTGCTTTTTATAAGATTTTTTAAAAATATCACACCTATATTGCACTTTAAAACCATTTTCTACAACTTTTTCATTGAATTGTGTTTTAATATTTGTCTTAAGTGAAGTACCCGGAAGTCCACACATATATCCTTGGCATTCAATTATATCAAATTTAATTGTTAATATCACAGATAATATTAGCAATTGTTTAACTGTCTGTATCAACAATTTATAATTTAAATATTTAAAAGACATATTTGCAAAAAAGACTATTTCTAATTCATAGTACTGTAGATTGTATTCAAATTTTTACATTTTGACAATATTTTGTACATTTATTTAATATCGATGTCAATACTACTGTACAGTATTTTAATATAATTAATTAATTTCCTTTTGTTAGATCAATGCAATATAATATATATTGTCGTCCGTAATGACAACAATATACATGTATTTGTTGTCATATAAAACATTCAATGTTATAAACATACGTTAATTAATAATAATTAATATTAAAAATATTCCTATCCCTTTCCTCATCGTTTAAATATAAACTATAAAATTTCAGACAATTTAATGCTAATTTAGTATTATTGATGTTTTTTATTACTAAAATTATTTTTGTAAACAAAATGAGATCATAATATTAAATGATTGTTAAGTAATTTAATTAAATTTGATTGTAGTTTAATTAACATTTTATAATGTTGTTTAATACTGTATAACATAATTTAAAACATATTACCATAATATACTATGTATTGAATTTAAATAAATTTAATAATTAATAAAGAGTGGGTATATTAATACTTGTACAGTATATTAATGAAATTTAATAGAAATTATTGAGTTTTTATTATTATTATATTAGATTTTATTGATTTAATATTTGATTTATATTATTATTTTATATAGGTTATATTGATTTACAAAATAATAAATAAATAATTATGCCTATTACTTTGACATTCACATAATTTACCTATAATAATGAATTACCTATAAACTAGTACATGTATTTTTTAATAAATAAGCCGATAATTTGTTTATTATTATTATATTTATCGTATTTGTAAAGTAGTGCCGTAATATAAATATTAAATCATATTTTATTGATTAAGTAAAAGTTTTGTTATGTACTTATATTAATAAATAAAAAATTGATAATTTTTAAATTACAAATCACCATAACAACATATATTATGCATGGTATTAAATGATACGATATATTTTATATACAATAAAAAGAACCTTGTTTAACTATCTAGAATTTATTACACTTTAAAAATTTATGAGCACCAGATCTAAAATACATATAAAACTTTAAACTTTCTATAAAATTAAATAAATTTTAAAAATATGTTTTACAGTATAATTGTGTTGGATTTATAACAATAATAAATTATATGATTTAATGGCGGCGTTGACCAATAGTAGACCGGATTTGTCAATTGATTTGGTTTTACAAACGGATGACAACTGTGTTGCAGACTGTGAGTGCTTTTGGTGGCGAATGAGGACACGGATGGAGAAGACATTGCTATGCGGTTGGGCTATCATTTCAGTCGTATTCTTTGCCTTATGTATTGCCATTATTGCACTCATATCCACACAAAACTATTTTAACAAAACTTCTGGTAATTATCATAATTTGTTTTAAGAGTCAAAGAGTTTTCTCACAAAAAAATATTTATTATTTTTTAGTTTGTTTATCTGACTCATGTATTCATTCTGGTATGAAAAATGTTAAAATTTAATTAATAATTATTTTAAAAATTGGCATTTTCTATGTTTATTATTATCTAAATTATTTTACGATAAGCTTCTCGTATAATACAATGGATGGATGAATCGGTGTCTCCGTGCGACCATTTCTACCGATTTGCGTGCGGCAAATGGTATGACTCTACTGTCATCCCCGACAACAGTAACTCTGTTTCCAGTTTTACTCAACTCACAGATGTTATTAATATTGAACTGAAAGGTTTATTTAAAATCTACATTAATTATTCAAAACTAAAAAATAGTATTTTGTTTATATTTATTAGTAGTATTTTTCATTTATTTTATTATAGATCTATTATCTCAATCTATATTATCAAGCGATTCAAAAATTATCAAAAACATGAAAATATTTTATAATTCTTGTATGAATTTAAGTAGGTTTTTATTTATACTCAAATAAACTATTTATTAATATTAAATTGAAATAAATGCTTCACATTAAAGCTGCTGTTAATAATAAAAGTTTGGATACATTAATGAATTATATTAAAGAGTTGGGCGGTTGGCCTGTACTGGAGGGTAACCATTGGAAAGAAACTAATTTTAATTTTATTAACACAACTCTAAAACTGAAAAATTTTGGTTTTAATCCTAATTTGATTTTTCAATTAAGAGTTGCTCCTAATGTTGTATACAATGGCGAACACATGATTTATGTAATAAATAATTTCAAATTATTGTCTATTTTGCGAATTTATTGTTAAATATATTTAAATCAAACTTTTCTTATATTGTATTTATTTAAATTAGATTACAGAACTAAAATTTAGTCCATTAGCTAAAAATGAGTTATTAAATGTAAAAAGTCGTAAAATGAAAGCTTATTTAGACTTTATTGTCGATATCGCTGTACTATTAGGAGCTGATGAGGACAAGGCTTACGACGAATTAGAAAAAGTCATTCAATTGGAGTCGTTATTAGCAAAAGTATTAGTTTTTAGTAATAAAAAATTAATAATTTAATTAATTAATAATTATAGGCAACCAAAGGTATTAATACAAGCAAATATCATTTTATTAGTCTAACTGATCTAAACATGACCGCACCAAATGTGATTATTTTATTTGAATTACTATACTATACTTACTTATTGATTATTTTATTGTTAGGATTGGTTGGATTTGATCAATGGTTTGCTATACAATCAAACAGTTGATATGAGTAAAGATATCATTGTTATTAATCTCAAAGCCATTACAAGAGTGAACCAAATTTTGCAAATATATATGAAAAATAACAAAAGGTTTAAACTATTATGTAATATAATTTTTATAGTATTTGTTAAATTGATTTTTAAAATTAGGGTTTTAGCTAATTATATGATATGGAAAACAATTTATCAGTCAATTAGCACTTTGGATAAAACATTTGAAGAAATTGAAGAAGAGTTTTATAAAACAATTTGGTCTTTAAAAAGGACTACCAAAAGATGGACCAAATGTTTATATTTGATGTCAAACCAAATTAAAGCCAGTTTTGCAAACATTTATCTTAAGCACATTACTGACAAAGAAAAAAGAAAATCTGCTGTTAATTTTGATTATTATTTATATTTATAATTTGATTTTATGATTAATATATTAATTTTTACAGGTCATTGAAATGTATGAAAATATTAGGTTTACATTAAAACAAAAGTTTCAGGAAATTGATTGGATGGACATTGAGACCAAATCGAGTGCATTATTTAAAATTGATTACATTAACCATTTTATTGCTTATAATAATGAGATACTCAATGATAAACAAATTGAAGACATGAATCAAATGGTTTGTATTGATTTTATTGAGTAAATTTTAATTAAATAAAAGCCTAAATCAAAAATAATGCTAAAAATTTCTTATTAAAAGTTAGAAGATCTCGAAAGCAATAATTTATTAGAAAATCTGCTTAAACTACAAAAGATGAACTTAAATAATGAATACTCTAAGCTATATAAATCAAACTATCGTAACGAGTAATTCATATAATTATTTATTTATATATATATTATAATAAGTAAACATTTATTCAGTATTTTAAATAACATTTTTTTGCTATAAATTAGTTGGCAAAAAATGGTGACACCAGTTAGTGTTAATGCTTATTATTCACCGTTTATTAATGCCATCAGAATTCCCATTTGGATAATTAAAGGAATATTTTTTGAACCAAATCGACCAAAGTTTGTATTATTTAGTAAATTAAATATTTAAAATGCTATTATTATTATTATTAATAAATTAATATATTATTTATTAAAAAATTAAATATTAAGTTATCTTAACTATGGAGCTCTCGGTTGGATTTTGGGTCACGAATTAATTCACGAGTTTGACACCTTTGGCGGTCAGTTTGATAAATCTGGTAATTTGAGAGACTGGTGGGACCATCAAACCAAACTCGACTTTAATAAAAGAGCCCAATGTTTTGTCAATCAATACAAACAATTTAATGTATGAATTAAAAAAAATTATTAATACTAAAAAAATAATTTATATACCTTATTGTATTAATAATCTATAGTTAAGTAAATCCACATTATCTGAAGATATTGCTGATAATGGAGGCATCGATACGGCATTTAAAGTACAAATTATTAGCAAATATTTTTTTAAACAACAATTATTTATTTATTCAATAATTAATTTAATAAACAGAGTTATCAATACTTTGTCAAACGTAATGGCGAAGAGTTACCACTGCCTGGACTTAACTATACATCCGAACAATTATTTTGGATCAGTGCTGCAAATGTATTAGTTATTATTATTAACTATAATTATAATAAAAATTATATTATTATTATTATTATTTAATTATTATAATAATCAAACAGATTTGGTGCACTAAATTAAGGCCTCAAACTTATTCATATTATATCGATAGAACAATTCATAGTCTACCGGAGCATAGGTTTCATTTATATTGATTTTTTTGTTAAAAAAATAATTAATGACAAAAACTTATAACATTTACTCTTAAATTAATTTGCATAGAGTTTTGATGTCATTTTCAAATTCAAAATATTTTGCAAAATCATTCAATTGTAACGAAACTGATAGAATGAATCCAATAGACAAATGCCAACTTTGGTAAATTAGTTTAATTTTTAATTTATTTCAAAATTGTGATAAATTATATAATTAGTTAACAATTAATTTCTATGATTATTAATAAATTATTTGTTTTAATAAATCGTTCTTTTATTAAACGAAAAAACATATATATTTTTTATTTAATTATTGATTGTAAATGAATTTAAATTTTAATTATTAAAAAAATATATAAAAGCAATTTATAATTAATAATAATTTGTAAGTATAAAAGTTGATTAAAAAAAATTTAATTGCTTCAACACAAGTGGTCATGAATTTATACAACACATCAAACTTTAATACTTATTAATATTTAGTTATCATTTTTAAACATTATTATAAAATAAAATTATCATCTGTTGAAGCAAATGAACAGTTCATTGCTACTCATAGGACAAGAAAAAAGTTGATTATTCAGTAGATATGATGATTGTCTCCAATAGATTTGCAATCTCTTTGTCTGTTATATGTCTTGTTTTGTGTTTTAAGTTTTTATCAATTTTTGGAGACAATGTAATTGAAATCAAAGATGTTATCGATAGTAATGAAAACAGAGCTAAATTGGGAGACAACTCAACAGAAAATCGTCAATTGTTTGGTAATCAAGTGCAACGTTGTGTCACACGAGAGGGTAGACCTGGATTTTGTAAGACCGGTGTTTGTCTAAATTTGTTTGACAAGAAACCAGCCTATTGTCCGTCATCGACATCATATCATATGAAATGCTGTCCCACAACCAACAGAGCGGCTGTATTGCCACAAAACGATCCGAGTATGTGAACCAAACTTTTATATTTTGTCTAATTAGTAAATATGCTTAACTTTTTTTTGTTAATAGTTTGCGGTCTAAGACCAAGTAATAACTTTTTTATTGTTGGCGGAGCTGAAGCACCGGCACATTCATGGCCATGGGCTACGGCTATATACCAAAACACGTATAAAATGAGAAAACTAAAGTCTCGGTTTATATGCGGCGGTACTATTATCAGTGAGTGGTATGTTATGTCAGCCGCTCATTGTATTGTCCGTCAAAGTGAGACATTGCTTCCGAGTAATTTCAAGATACTGATCGGTGCTCACGATAACAAAAACAGTGGATTATATGCCGACGTCAGCGAAATTAAAGTACACGAAAACTTTGTGTTTGGTCAGCACCGCAACGATATTGCACTCTTCAAACTGACACAACCTCTTGACTTTAGGAACAACAAAGACGTGACACCCGTTTGTTTGCCACCGCCAGAGATTGAAGGCGCAGACCTTATCGGTACTATGGGTACACTTGTCGGTTGGGGTACGACCTCTCAGGTATGCTTTTCACACTTTTATTTTTATATTCATCTAAATACTGTAAATAATATTTATATATCATTATATTTTTTAATTTAATTTTAAGCTAATTGATACTAAACTAAGCCATATAAAAATTATTAATATAAAAAATTTAATATTGATTGTTATTAAAACAATATAAATATTTAATATGTTTAATTTATAATAGTAATATAATATAAGAGCGATGACTTTTAGTCAAATCAACGAAAAAAGTCATTATATTTTGCTTATAGTATTAAACATATGTTTGACTTTGTTTTATAAATTAATATATAAGTTATAAAAATTTTATTATATACTGTAATGTTTAAATATGTAACTTTACGTTTATTTAACCCTTATAGTAATAATTACTTTTCATAATTAAATATTTATTAATGATATAATTTTATAATGTGTTGATTGCTATTGAATGAAATTTCACTCGCAATTAAAACTATTTTTATGCAATTGTAATAATCAATAACAATAACATAACAGTCAATGTAGACATATAATAAATATTTGATATGAGATTTATAATGAAATTTAAATGATAAAAACAAATTATTAATGAATAGGGCGGTAAACCGAGTCCAGTGCTCCAAGAAGTTGAAGTTCCCATTAGTGAATTGAAAGACTGTGCCAAACGGTACAGTTCATTGTTAGGTGTGTCCGATCAAATCAATGAAAACCAATTATGTGCTTCATATACACAGGGAGGCAAAGATTCGTGTCAAGTATGCAACAAATTGTTGTCAATATACCAGTAAACCAGTAAAATATATGAAATTTTAAATATTAATTTTAGGGGGATTCTGGCGGCTCTCTCACTGTTTCATATAGCGGACGGTATTATCAATTAGGTGTTGTTTCATTTGGTAAGGGCTGTGCTCAACCTGGTTATCCCGGAGTTTATACAAAAGGTATTATTTCTTTCAATGATGTATACAATAAGTTATTAGTAATAAATAATTAATTTTATCATTCAGTTTCATCTTATCTCTATTGGATTGGCGCTCACATGGAGTAAATTGTCAGCTAATCAGTGATAAAAATGAAGATATTTTAGAAAAATTATTTGTCATTTTATTCATTAAAAATTCACATTTTATTAATTGAATATTAATTTATTAACAATCAAAGAACGGCTCATAAATTTACTATTGTATTCAGTAAACAATTATAAGTAAAAATAATGATACAACTAATGTCATATAATAAAAACTTTTAATACCGTTTTTGATGAGTGATCTTATTAATGATTACCCGTGTTTTGTTGACCGTTAAGATCAGTAACCTTTGACTTTATATGCGCCCGAAACATACCGATGGGCTCTTTGTTGATCTCATCATAATATGGCAGATCTCGTTTGAGACCATCACTCCAACGTTTGACATTCTTGTATTCGCCGATCAAATCATAGTCAAACACTTCAGCTAATGATAGACTGGCCAATACTGATAGATCGGCTAACGTTATCTCATTTCCGGCCAAAAATGGTTGATTGTTAAGCATTTGATCCATGATTTGTAGGGCTTCTCTGATTTTCTTGCCTTTTTCAGGGTCCAAGTCATTTGGATTCTTGGTGTCTCTTAAAATGGGTGCTAAGTATTCGCCAATTGTCCGATAAATAGTTCCCAAATCCCACTGTAATATCCTATCCACTTCTGCACGTTTCTGGGGATCACTCGGATAGAGACTAGAGTTGGGCGCATACTTGTTGGCCAAATAGCACATAATTGCACGGCTATGGAAAGTTAGATTAATTGGAAGATTATGTTACTAATTATAGTCTAAACATACCTTTCCCACAGCACATATCCATTATCGCAAATAGTTGGCAAACAGTGTTGAGGATTAAGTTTCAGAAACCATTCCTCCTTTTGTTCGCCTTTTAGTGACATTAATAATAGTAAATAAATTTATTATATTTTCTAAATAATTTGAATTATGTTTTGATAATTACCTTTCATAAGGTCAACATATTTTGGATTTAAATTAATGTTAAGGTGCTTAGCGGCCATCATGACTGCCCTACAAGGAGGACTGGGACCTACAAAATATAAATCAATGACCATCTTTCTGGTCATCATTACTTCAATTTTGTACAAACAATTAAATATCTAATCAAAATTATATTTTAAATATTAAGTGATATCTAAATAACAAAATATAATAAAAATTAGTTTAAATAACAATAAACAAAATGAAATGATATTGTCCTTCAAATTGTTATCTCTTTCTGATAACAAAATTATGTCTATAATTGTGTTATTTGCTGATTGGCTAAACAAAAGACGTTTTAAAATTAACGCTTAAGTCATTTATTACAATCAATTTTAATCGACATCAATATAATTGTATAGATAATAAAAAATTATAATTCAAGATCCCATTTTAGTATTACAGATAATTATTATGTCTATATAATAGTTTGTAATAAATAAATAAATAACTAAATATTTAATTATTATTCAATTTCAAAATAATTATTATTTAAATAAAGTAAATTAATGTTTAATACAAAGTTGTGAAAGTGGTAGAAGAGTAAGGCTATGTTATCCCTTGAGATCGAAATTTTTTGGTTTTACTCCCATATGGTTTTACCCCCATATGGTTTTACCCCTCACCTAAAGCCAAAAAGTTAAAATGGTTTAATTTTTTATACTTAATATTTATATTTAAAATGTCTATTTAAAGACTATTGTATATAGAATCTACTAATATCTATATTTTAAATATTTAATTATTATTTTAGGATATATAATATTATATATATATATATATAATTAATTTAAAACAAAACTGGTTGTTATTAAAAAAATTAATTTATAATTTTTACTTCTTGTCTAAGTATTGATTAAAACATAATTATGTTTAATGAACAAAACTATTGTTTAAAACACAGTCTTAGCATTTATTTTAATTCATATGATTTTATCAAATAAATATTATTTTATCTGTGATTGTGACTAATTGCGCAAATATTTTTTTAGTTTTTTCTGATTTATTAATGCAAATTTTATGAGATTTATAATACAATGTATTTAACTGTTAGTTTAAAATAGTTTATATTGAAAATCTTTTCAATGTATGCAATAAAATAACGTATAAATGAAAAAACTATTTTAAATATTTCTATCAATAATACCTTTAATGAATGCTTTCTTTTTTCTGGTTTCTATTAATTGATTGATTAAAATAATAATCCTTTAACTTGACTACTATTTAGTTACTCTTTTGGTTTTGACTCTCACCTACTCGTAGTTACTGACTATCAGTTTCCTCGGGTATAGTTTGCATGGGATCACTGGGTCTAATCGGACGGGTAGTAGGAGTGGGCCAAACTTCATTTATTGGACGATGACGTCCTGGTTGTTGCTGTTGTTGTCCTATGGGCTCAACATCAATGATCGGCAATTCATTTTCTGGCGATGGAATGCGTTGATTGGTACCACCTTCTAGAAAGCGTTCCCCCCAATCAATATCGGGTGATGGAGATTCTCTTTGTGGTGGTGCCCATGCACGTGATCTTGGTGCCCATGCACGTGATCTTGGTGCCCATGCACGTGATCTTGGTGCCCATGCACGTGATCTTGGTGCCCATGCACGTGATCTTGGTGCCCATGCACGTGATCTTGGTGCCCATGTACGTGGCCTTGGTGCCCATGCACGTGATCTTGGTGCCCATGTACGTGGCCTTGGTGCCCATGCACGTGGTCTTGGTGCCGGTTCACGTGGCCTTGGTGCCCATGTACGTGGTCTTGGTGCCGATTCACGTGGTCTTGGTGCCCATGCACGTGGCCTTGGTGATGGAATGCGTTGATTGGTACCACCTTCTAGAAAGCGTTCCCCCCAATCAATATCGGGTGATGGAGATTCTCTTTGTGGTGGTGTCCATGCACGTGGCCTTGGTGCAAATTGACGGATTGATGGTTCCGACCATTCAGGTGGTGGCGGTTGTACTTCTTCATAACTATATTGTTGTCCCACTGTAGGAGCCCAGGGAGATTGATAAGTAGAATGAGGTGGAACCACATGAGTCGGTTGATAGCCGTAACGAAGTCGTTCTTGTGCCGCATAATCAGGTTGAGGTCTAAGAAGTCCATATCCATCCCTTTGACTTAATGTTTGAGACGCATAGCCAGCCAATGTTGTGTCAATGGGTGGATGGCCACCCAATGCAGTCATCGCAGAACCAAGTGGTGGTTGAGATGTAAAAGCACCCGTTTGTGGGTAATTTGGTATCTGATATCCGAAACTACTTGGACCTCCCGATGGATGAGATGCTGGGATACCTTGTTCTTGAAATGTGGGAAAACCCTCTGCCATATATAATGGAGGACCTTGTAATGCAATCATTTGATCTCTCTGTTCCAGAAGTGTGGGAATACCCTCTGCCATATACAAGGGAGGCCCGTGTTGTTCAAGTCTCTCAAGATTCTGTGACCGACGAGAATCCCGTTGACCTCTACCTCTACTTCTATTTGGTCTATTGTATGACATTTTAGTTGATTTGATTTTGAACTTTAACTCGATTTGAAATTTAGTCTTAAGATCAGCTAATGATGTGATGCAAAGTGTTTTGACAATTAAATGAATTTTAATTGAATTTTGATTTTTAAGATAAGTTTATATATATTTTTATTTTTCATTGTTGTCTTAATGTATTTAATATAAAGTATATTTTATTATTTGCAAATATTTTTGTACGAATGATAAAATTTTCAATTTTTTGTAAAAATTTATAAATATTGAATTGTGCTTTAGATTAGATTAAATAGTTTCGTTTGATCAGATTGAATGGTGCGGGGGTTAACTTTGTTAAATTTAAATTAAAAACTTATTTTTATAATTATGCAAAAATATATTAAACATGTTTATAAGTGTAACTACTTATTGAACACGTACTCACACGTGTATAGTATAATGCGTTAGACATAAATGACTCAATAATATCTTAATACTTGGTAACAAAACAACATATTTTTACTATACTTTTTAAATAAATAATTAAATATTTGTTAATCAGTGTTAATAATTTACAGATAAAAGACTTAAATATTATCATTTGTTATTAATATTTGTTTATTTTAAATAAATAAAAAAATATATTAATTTATAAAAATATCAATATATATATACAATTTTGATAATTGTAAATATTTATATAATTATTTATGATTTAATAATGACTAAATAAACTTATTCAGAAACTATTTTTTTAATAATTTTTCTTATATTTTCAAAAAAAACTTGAAAAGTTTTGTTTTCTGAAATCTATACGAGCCTTTTTAGTGTGTGTGTGTGTGTGTCTGTCTGTAGCATTTCATTTTGCGAATTTTGAAATTCTGACTTCAGATTCGGTTAGAGGACTACTGATAATATATTGAAAAGTTTCATTAAAATTTTGATATGTCTTCGGGAACATAGACAAAATGGCGGCCAAAGTAAAAAAATTTTAAGAAAAATTTTTTTAAGTTTAAATTTGAATAAAGTCAAAAACAAGAATAAAAAATATACATTAAAATTTTGATCTCTTCGGGAACAAAGAAAATGGCGGCCAAAGTAAAGAAATAGGTAAAAATTTTAACGTTTAGAATTGTATAGAGCATCAAAAATATGATATAATATATCAGTATAGTTTTTTTAAATGGCGGCAAAAGTATAAAAAATTTTAAGAATTTTTTTTTAAGTATAGATTTGAATAAAGCATCAAAAACAAGGATAAAAAATATGCATTAAAATTTTGATATCTACGGGAACAAAAAGTATAAGCGGCAAAAGTATAAATATATATGATTATTTTGTTATACTAAATCAATTGATACCACACATGAGTAGTTGTTTATTTTGTCATACTGAATCATTTGATACCATACATGACAATATTTATATTATGTATATTTGACCAGTTTTTAAATTTTTATGTTATTATTTAGCAGCTATAATTATACAAACTAATGGTTTTCTATGGTATTGAAGTTTTTTTTTCTGAAAATGCTTTCTAGCATTCTTAACTGGTTTTTTTTTATTAAAAATGAATCATTATATATATTTTTATATTATGTAATTACATTATAAGTTAATTTTATTTAATGATTAAGATTATATGTTATGGTAAATAATTATGAATCATAATTTTAATAATAACTTGAATAAATTTTTATTACAACACAATTATAAGATAATTGATAATTTATAATAATGACAAATAAACAATTAATAACTGTTTAAACTCTAAACAAATATTAATGTTTTTATCCATAAAACAAACAGTTTTAATAAACTTAGAATTTTCAGTCAATTTTATATTATACTTATATATCTATCTATTAAATAATTAAGTAATGAACTAATTAACATTTTTAGTAATGAAATAGTAAAATATATAATACAAGTATAAATGGTATATAAATGGAGTATAAATGGTGTATAAATAATAAACAAATATTATTTAAGTGATATTATTAATATAATCTAGGTAAATGGAACATTTAAATCATCCCCACGTGTTCATATGAACATTATAAATTATATATATAAATAAAATATTTAATTACTGATTATTTGTAATAACTTATACTAAAGTACAGTACATATAATACTATTATTATTATATTAACAGGATTTTACTATTAACTTCAAAACAATAACAGAAAATTAAATATATTTACAACTATTTGTTTAGCGTTTACTGAGATCTCCGGCTCAATAAAGTTTTACACAATATTATTACTAATCATATTATTAACGATATGCCAAATATATATATATATATATATATATATATATATATATATATATATATATACAGCTCATACAATAAATTGCTTTATTGTAAACATGTATGAAATCATACAAAGATTAGTCCTTTTAGTCTAATATACCGGTACTAAATAGTCTGTACTATAATGAACCACAAAAAACTATTTTTTATGACATCTCTCTTTCTTTACATACCAGTCCCTATCATTGAATGCAATACAGTATAATCTGAAATTAGAAACTCATTGCAAAATCGTTATCAAACTTTTCGTGACTTATCTCATCCAATGAGGACTTGCCATCAAATTTTTTTCTGTCAATTCATTTATATATTGAGTTAACAGATATGTTAGCTCAGCATTAGATCAGTTAGACATTTAGATACAGTTTATTTAGATAGATATAGCAGACACTAAGCATTTATACATCAATTTAAATATGAAATTATTAACTGCTTTATTGTTGACACTGGTGTTTACTATCGCTATTAATAACTGTTATGCCGAAGAAAAGGAAAGTCCAGAACCAGAGACAGGGGCTGACCATCAAAATAATGTGGAAAATGACAGCGAAGTTGATTTGGCCACTGAAGTGTCAACGGAAGAACCAACAACTGATCCCATTACTCAACAACCGGACGACGGAAGTTCAACCACCGAGAGCTCCGGTTTACATCCCGTCACCTCTTATACAATGACTATCGTATCAGTTATGTGTTGTTGGCTTATGTTTAGACAATAATTTTATTTTTGTCTTCAATTTTCTATTTTGCAAAACTTATTTTATAAAATTATAAATTAGTTAATCTTTATATAATTTCTACAAATTACTAAAAATAAACCAATAGATCCCAAAATACTATTGTATATAAATAATTTATCATTATCTTAATATTTAAATATTTAAATTATATACAATGTATATTATACATGCTATATTTAATTTATTCCAGAAGTTAATTGAATATATACTATATATATATATATATATATACAAAATAAACTGAAACTCGTGTATAAAAATAAATTTTTAATAAAAATGTTTTAATTGTAAAATTGAAATCACTTTTTAGTTAACTAAATGCGTTAAAACTGTATTTTACTTTACTTTGAGTTTTCGTAAATTCCCGAATTGTTTTATTAACTAAAAATTCTATATATTTTTCATGTTATTTTGAGGGAATTTATAGACAATTAATTTTACAAAACAGGTTGTTATTTATTTTGCGACAATGTTTGGATAAATGTTATTTGGAAACTTCCTTTTTTAAAATTGCCCCAACTCTAAGACATAAATTTATTTATTAATACTGTAATAAACTATCAATACTTTTACATTAAGCCAATCAATGCAATCCATTTGAATATTGTATACAATTATTGATGAATAACTCCCCGATTGTCCCCTAATATGCAATCCTAACGATCAGTACATGTGTTTAACTGTTTGTATAACAGTTGACTGCAGTGTAACGTAATTTGTGAACAATTGGTTGCAATTTCACTGATGTAATCATTTGATTGTTTGTTATGAATATTATGATTGAACTGATGAGTAGTTTCTATGATTCGGTGACAATGGAGACCACGGATGACAAAACACTGGCCATTGATTGTCTCAATGATGACATATTACGACTCGTGTTTACCCGTTATGTTGACCTCCGAACCCGTTTGCGGTCTCAACTGGTTTGCCGTCGGTTTAATGCTTTGATCGCCGATATGTTTGACAATAAGACAACACTATTGTTGTCCGACAGCGACCTCAATGTCAATGCTTTTTCCGACGAAGACTTCCGACACTACACTAAGCTTTCACTGCAAGAGTTATGTCAAATGAAAGACGGCCTTTGGTTTCGAAGTCCACGAGGACTGCGACTGTTGACACCATTGGAGATCGTGACTTACACTCTCGCTAAGTATAAGCAGCTGAAGACACTTTGTCTTACAATTACCAATCGGTCAGCGATGGACTCATTTTGGGATCAATTGGTTAACATTTGCGGTGATAAACTCGAGAAACTAATTATAATCAATACAAATGGCCAGAAGATTATTATCAAAGAGTCACAAATGGATGCATTTTGCCGTAAATTTCAGCGATTGAGACACTTCGAGGTCTATACTGATTATCTCTATACTACTGAAGAGTGTTTTCGACAACTCATGACTCGATGTCTTGATTTGGAAACCTTTAAACTTGACGTACGGTTTGTTTTTTCCGAAACTATTGAACATTTGAACTCAAGTAACGCACAGGCAATCAGTTATAATACTTTTGAATTTAGTGGTCAATGCTTTTGTATTCCCGATCTTAAGTTGACTACAATTGACGTTTCGTTTGCTATATTGAGTCCACAAGTCATTGAAAATATAGCCGACGATGAATGGCTAAAGAGAGTCAAACATTTTGGTGTCAAACGAGTGATTCCCACAACAATAAAGTGTATTAGTCTTAATATGTCTTCACTCGAAAGTTTGTCTTTTTCGATGAATGACGAGTTGACTGGTGTTATGATTCAACAAATGTTGACATTTGTTGGACAGTTGAAAGCATTGACAAAATTATCAATTGATTGGAACAATAATATAAGTGTTAAGTTAGACGAACAGATACTCAATGGTCTGAAACAATGTCCAATAATCGACTACTTTGGTATCTACAACACTAAGCTCAGGGAAGACTCAATCGAAGCCATTGGACATTGTATACCAAATATGCAAACACTTTGTCTGAAAAACTGTCGTTTAGATAAAAAGACATTTACGACAATCAGTGACTGTCGTTGTTTGAAAAAGTTGATAATCACTGACACCTTCTTAAACATAAATTGCATCACACATTATGTGGACATCAATCAGGAGGACAAAAATCTTGTGGCAAAGCTTATAAACAAATGCGTTGAATTGGATTTGTTTGAAGAGACAAAACAAAACAATATGAATATGTTTGGCGTTAATTTGGTGCCACCCGTTGTTAACAATAATTTGATTAATTTACACAATATATTTCATGACGAACAAGAAGATGATATGATATATGAAGAATTGTTGAACAATCATCACTTGCAGTTTGTCAATGACCTGTTTCACAGTGACAGTGATAATGATGACAATGACGATGACGTTAATAACTTAAATGTCTTAATACTCGAACCCTAACCCCAACCCAACCGGAACATTATGTTTTTAATTGCATTCAGACACCAGTTCCTCAAATAATTATTACTGTATTATTGTATCACTGATAAAGACTTTCCTCAAAAAATAAGTCGTTAAATATATAAAAAAAAACTTGATTAAAACATTTTATACATTTCTATAGATTATCGGTACAAATCTCATTTAAACAATACATAATTAATGATTACCGTATTGTAAAATAATTTTATGTAAATTATTGAATTTTTTTACTATTATATGATTGCATTTATTTAATTATATGTTTTTTTGCTATTTATGACTTAGTGTATCATAATTTTTGTTTATTAATCGTATATAAGAAATTAATAAATTTTTAATAATCATTAATAAATTTGGTGTTAATTTTTACAATTACAAAGAATTTGTAAGTTATTTTCAACAATTAGTGTTTTGTTATATTTTATTTAGTTTTTATACAAAATAAGCGATTGTTTTTATATGTTTACAATCATAAATATTACGGTAATAATAAAAATTGATAACAAAACATGTAATAAACAATTTAATTGTAATCAAATATATTGCAAATTAAATAAAAATATGTCGACTGTTAAATAAAATATAATAAATAGATTGATACAAATAAAATTTGGTGCACTAAACAACAATTATTAATTTTAATGACTTAAATTATATTTACCGGTATTTCACTATATTATAAATTGTATATAAAATATCAATAATCACATATCGATTATCACTTATGGATAAAGTGGTGATCAAAAGTTACAGTAATTCATGGGTTAGTAAGCGATAGCGTGTTTAATAAGTCCTTCCAATTTGAGGCCATTTAAAGTTAAGTCAATGTTTTTGACCACTTCGGCGGCCAACGATGCGATACTTGAAACTATAAGACAAACCAAACCCAATCGATAGCAACCATTTTGTTGAAGCAAATGGCCAGCAGTTCCGCTAACAGATGCCATCATCTTAAGTGTGGCCATTACAATGTCTTTACAGGAGTTGACTTGAGATGACCATCCAATGCCATACTTCCATAGAGTGCAGTAATGTTCGCAATTCAATGACTATAATTAGATATCACAATATCATTCATATCTTTAAAAGGAAATAAATAATTGTATTAATTAAAAGGTTTACTTTAAGATCATATTTAAGTATGGAATCCTTCAGACGATTCAAATGACTTAAGACCTGATCCAAGACAGGCATCTGATTGTTAGTAGTCTTCAGCATTTCTTTAGCCATCAGAGATTGATTGTTGATTCGACACAACGACGGCTGCAAACATTCATTGTCCTTCAATATGTCTATTAACGGCTCGTACTTCAGCAGTGCATTGCCATTGAATGACACTTCTTTGCGTAGACCGTCGGCCACTTCGTCGTCCATCATATGTTGTCCGACAGCCGACACGTGATAACACCAGACATTACCCATTGAGTCAACCGATTCAAAGAGTACCCAATGTTTGTATTTATTTCTTTGAATCTCAATTAGATCTCCGGGTGTCAAGTGATAGATAATGCGCTCGTAGTCGATGAATGAGCCGCCACTTGCAAATAGCTGACAACTCTTTGACTGAACTGATCCCATGGTATTTGGATTTACAATTTGACTGTTAATTAAATGGTTGTTATGTTTAGTGTTTTATTTTGTTTATGTATTCAATAGTCATGTGATCTAATGCTTGGTTTAGTCTACAGTTATATTCAATTATTTATCAAATATTTCATTGCAATTGATTGTCAAGTTTTACTCACATCTCTTTCATTATTAATATTAATAATAAATTATTGATTAAAATTTATGTGAAAAAAAACTATACAATAATAAAATGTGAAAACTTTATGAAAATAATGCTTATTTTGTCACCACTTTATTAAACAACAAATTTGTTAGTATTTTGATTATATAAGTTTTTATTTTACTAACTACTGTACTGTAGATATTAATAATAAAGTATTAGAAAATATTACATATAATAATAAAATTAATGTAAAATTAATAATTTGTATATCATATCATGTGTTATCAATAATTATATATTTATAGATATATGATAATTGTAGTGATAAATTAACAATTTATTAAAACTAATAAATAAAATATTATTTCTGTATAAATGAAAGATAAATTTTGTCATAACTTTACAGACGGTGTTTCAATTGCCGTCAATCACAGGAATGTCATTCAAAATCTTAGTTTTTCGGCTGAATTTTGGCAGCCGTTCATTGATATAGAAATAATGGACAAATCAAATGTCACATATATTTGTGGTCCACTACTAGGTTTGGCCTACGAAATAGCTGCTCATTTGAAGGCTAAGTTAGTTTTTTTTAAAAATAAATAAAACTTGAATTAAATTTAAAATTGATTAATAATTAGTTTGATTTACAAACGAACCCAATTGGGTCGTCCGGAAGAGATCTATGAAATGATGAGCTCAGGTGTGACTAACTTTGATTTGTCTCCATTACCACCGCTTACCGTATATATGAACTCTGGTTATAAATATGTAAAATTATCAAGGTACATCAGTTCTATAGCAATGATCAGCATATTGTCAGCTAAAGAGCCCATCAACTCATTTCTTCATTTACTGTATATATTTGACAGCAAAACATGGCTTATATTTATCGGACTTTATCTCATTATTTCATGTCTGATGGCATTCATTGAGTTCAATGTTCGGTCGTTTATCTATTACTTCGGAGTAGTGTTTGGCCAACAAACGGGTCTTTTGAAGAGACAGTTGAGGTGTTCAATTGTATCGCTCGTATGGCTGACTGGTTCTATGATAATGATGTACAGCTATTCAGGAGTTTTGTTGACTTTTCTGGTTTTCCGTACTCCTTATGAAGTCATCGACAGCATTGAAGACTTGGCAAACAAAGCAAACATTGGATTGACTGTCTTTGATGACGAACCGGCATTGGATTATGTTATGGATGTAAATGAACCTTATTATCGACAGTTTGTCGGTCGAGTCAATATTTCAAAGACAGGTAATGGCGACAAAAAACTATGGGAAGACCAAGTGTTTGGTCAGATTATCGATAGAGTCTATGTATTGGTCAGTGACCAGTCGTTTATTGATTACTACTTTTCAATAAAACTTTTCAATAACACTAATCTCTACCGATCCAAATCAAATAATTTGATAATGCCTTACTTTATGGCACTGTCCAAACTTAACTCACCAAATATCAATCGTGTGATTAATTTTGTGTATGTTTACTAAATTTATAATAAATAAATTAGTTAATTTTATTTAGTTTTTATTTAATATTTTAAAAGATTATAGACAATATATAATTGTATTAATTAATTCAATATCTATGATATATACTGTATGTAGAATTTGTTCCCTATCTGAAAGTGGTATATACGAGTCATGGGTAACCCAAACATTGGACCTAAACAATGATGCCCTACGATATGGTCTTATTGATGCAGATAACCAACGTTATCTATATAAACCAATTAACCTGGACAAATTTCAAAGTCTATTTTATTTTTTAATTATTGGATTTATTTCAGCATTTGTTTCACTAATATTTGAGTATCTGATTTTAATTATTAAAGCTAATTATTTTAGTAGTAAAGTTAATAAAATAAACAATAATTTTATTGAAAACGAAAAATTAATTAAATTTAACAAAAAAGTTGTAATTAATAGATCATTATATCAATTATCAGGTCATTGGATCTATAGTTCACTGGCATTGAACTCTAAGCAAACTTAAAAACAAAAGTTAAGCAAAATATTTGTTATTAATATGTTATCTGTTTTTTAATATGTAATAAATTAATTATTTAATTAACAATGAAAATCTTTCACTAATTAGATTACATGTTAAAATTAAAAAACCAAATTAATTAATTGTTTATTTGTTTGTTTATTTATTTAGAAGCTATTTATTGATATTTAAAATTTATTATTTATATTTTTTGGCTATACCGTACATATTATATACTTACGTTTATAAATAATTATTATACTATTCATAATGTGTTTACTATGTTATATTACAATACTTTAAATATAATAAATTTTATTTAAATAATGTAAAAATACTTTTAATTTATATAAAAAAAAGTTTAGAAATGTAAAAGTTATGAATGATTTTTGGCTGACGACAATAACATTAAAAATGAGGCCATGAAATGATTTTTATATATCATTGAATTTTCTATTATTTCTAAATATTGTATATTGTATTGCGTATACAATATGTATTGTAAAGTCTTTATGTTACGTATGTATCGCTATTTACATTCAATAAAAATATTGTTTGACAAACAATTTCATACAAAAAACATTGTCTTCACCAACAATGAAGATGAGGGTATCATAGGCTATGACTAACCGTATATTAAAACTTCACAATTTTCACAATTTTTGATTTACAAAACACTATTTTGTATTCATACAGAAATATTATATCAGTTATTGCATTTTGTTATATTTTATTTGAAAACTAAATATAATAAAATTATATATATATAATATTTTTAATCAATATAATTATTGTATAAAATTGTTATATATTCTAACAATTATAAGATATTTAAAAAATGGTTAAATATCTGAGAGTAATATCAAAATGTGTTATATTATATTCTTGTCTGTTATTTATATCGATTAACTGTCAAAATTTGGGTAAGAATTTAATACATAATAATATTTAACAACAATAATAATATTAATAATAAATATGTGATAATTATTACTAATTTTTATTGATGTCATCGGTGGTAGAAATTAAGAGATATCGTCGACCGAATCGATTCGATCACATGTTATGTAATCAAAAGCACTTCGGGGTTGGAGTCAGAAGTTCTGCTGTTTTGGTAAAACATATTACATATTAGCTATAATTAAGATGTCATTTGACATATTGTTGTTGTTTTGAAAAATACATTAAATTAATAATTATTATGTATTGAAAACTAATAACAGAATTACAGCGGAGATATTTGCAAAACCTATTGTCGTGTAATCAATAGGATTGAAAGGACCAATACTTTTGCTGAATATATGGCACCAAATAATATTATTTGTGGACCTTTAAGTGCCCGAGTAATCAATTGTTTGCAACTTATAAGAAAAAGTATTTAAAAATAATTTAATATTTAATAAATACTTTATTTTAATTGTAAAGTGTATGGATGGAATTTGTCAATCAACTGGCTCTGGAGGTCCGGCAGTTGGACCTATATCTGGCACACCATCGGATCCGTCATCAGTGAGCAATGGCAGACGTGGCCGACCGTATAGTTCTGTTTCTTACAATTCAGATAAGCGAGGGATACCCGGAAAAGGTAGTCCAGGTTTCGTAAAAAGAGTGACTTCGGTTCCTACTTTAGATGTGACTGATTTGGGTCCACCCGAAGTGGTCACTGGAAGTGATGTTGTAATAAATGAAAACTATAACAAAGTTGATGATATTCGGGCAAAAATTGTATTTCCCAATTAAAATAAACATTTAATCCAATTTTAAATTAAATTATTTTTTATAATTTTTCAGTAGAAACTTAAAAAAAAATAAATATTAAAATTACTTATTCTTTTTATTGTAAAATTAAAATAGTTATAATAAAATACAAATAATGATAATGTGTTTATAGTTATTTACATTATAATTTTGTTAAATATTAAATATTTAAGCTATAAATTATTTATTAATGAAAACTTATATAAAACTAATAGTAGTTTAATGATAAATAAATGGATTATGTTTTATATATTAATTTATTAAATAAATAAAATTACTTTTTTAGAATTTGTATATAAGTTTACGATAAGCATAAACTCATAATAATATTAATTTTAATTTTAAATATATCAATAACTGAAAAAATAACATAATATTTAAATATATACTTAATATTTATTGATTATTACTCCCCTTCCTCTTCAGTCACAGATTTAGATTTCTTTAGAGTCTTTTGTTTGCTTTTGGCCGATGAAGCTGTAGTTGTGTCTGAAATCGATGTATCGGTATCTGTGTCTGAATCCGATGTATCTGTAGTTGTGTCTGAAGTCGATGTACCCGTAATTGTGTATAAAAACGATACCGATGTACCTGTAGTTGTGCCTGAAGTCGATGCGCCGGTAGTTTCGATGTTAGCATTTTGATTAACATTTTGATTAACATTTTGATTAACATTTTGATTAACATTTTTAGACGGTGTAGTATTAGATGGTGTGCTTTTAGATGTTGCAAAATTAGATGGTTCATTAGTAGACGGTATACTATTAGACGGTAAACTATTAGACTGTAAACTACTAGACTGTTCACTAATTGTTACAGTTTTAGGACTTTCCGTTGTGCGGTATGTGGTTGTACTGTCAAACACCAGTGGATTACTAATACGTGTACATTTGCCATCTTTTCCGCAATACTTTAATATTAAAAAATATATATATTTATAATAACTAATCTGAAATTAAGTTTTTTTTAATCAATATTAAAACAATGATATACCCTATCCTCAGCGCACCACAAATAATACGGTGCATCAAATATTGCCGTTATTTTGCGTAATTCAGAGTGAATTGACTTTATGCGACAGTATGTCTTACATACATAACCCGATCGATTCTATAGTAATATACAATATTTATTAATTTTTTTTTTATAAATAAATACACAAACTTTATGAAATTAATGGTTAATTGTAAGACAAAAAAATGGACAACAAATCTATTGACTTTACATAGTATGCCTCAACTGAAGCTTTCGGATCGTCAATCTCTTGTATTTTGTCTAATATGCTAAACATCTGAACCGAACATAACATTTGATCTATTTTTTCGGGTAGTCTTCCGGTTGGAATCTGTCGGAAACAGACAGTCGGTTCAAACACAAGTAAAATGTTTGCTATTATGTATAACAATGAAAACATTTCTACTTTTAAAACCCAATCGTAAATAATTACTAATATGTCTCTACCCTTATGTTTTAAATATGTTTAACTTATTAATTAATAATGTAATTATTTATTATGTAATTATTATTTAGTAAAACGATAACTTATGTAATAGTAAACAACTATTTCTTAGTTTACGGATTAATAGGTTTTCTGGTTTTGTTGACAGCACTGGTAGGTATTGTAAAGACCTTTTCTTTTTGAGCGCTAATATCATGTATATGTGAAAGCAGTCGTCGTTAATACAAAACTATTAATTATTCAAATTATATAAATATTTTTACGATATTATAATAAACAATAATAGAAAAACATTGAAATAACCACAAGAAGTAAAAATAGGATCAATTATCCTCTAATAAGAAATTTATTTATTTGAATCATTTATTTTTCTTAAACGACAATAAGATTTGCATATTTAGCCGCTTTTAGTTTGAAATTGCAAATAATTTTTCTTTTATATAAATAGAAAACATTAATTATTAAATAAAATAATAATTACACCATAATTATCAATGAGTGTACTGAATGGTCCAAATTTAGACATAACTGTAACCTTTAAGTTAAAATGATTTAATAAATTTGAATTACGAAACATTATTTTATCACTGAATGTCATTTGAAACAAACCAATTATTACAATCAAAAAATATTTCACTTTTGAATTATTCCTTATATTCAATTTTATGACTAAATATTTTTTGTTATACGTTATATTAAATGCAAATATAAAATAGCTTTTACTTTGTTTTTTTGTAATTAATGTTACTTTACTTTACACTTTACTTTTACTTTATAATCATAATTAAAGTAAACTTTAAAACATCACTTTTTCTTGAAACACATCATTAATTCTGTTTTTATTAAGCAATTTAACAAAATTATTACATAAACATAAAGAACTGTAAAGTTACTATAAATTCATAACATTTTTATTTAAGCTATTTAATAATAATAGTATAATAATAATACATTATAGTTATAATTCATATTAATTTTTTCTATTTTTTATACTTAAATTTGTAAATTTACTGTAATTTAGTCAAATATTTAGATTAATTTAAATATCCAAATAATAGTGGCCAAGTTTAGTTTTGAAGCAATTATCCTGGTTGGTTAGGTTGGAAAGGTTGATTAGGTACAAACTGATTAGGTATAGGCTGGTTAGATATAGGTTGGTTAGGTATAGGTTGGTTAGGTATAGGTTGATTAGGTGGAGGCTGATTAGGTGGAGGCTGATTAGGTAAAGGTTGATTAGGTATAGGCTGACTTGTTGGTACTGGACTGGGATTAGGTTGTAAGGGTGTGGTAGGTTTGTTGGTGACAGTGGAGGAATATAATACTGAATCTTTTGATCCATGATCTGTGATTTTAAGTATTTGTGGTTCACGAGGACAACATTCACCATTAACACAAAACTGTTTAACAAATTAAAATTAAAAACTCAAATGAAATCATACAATAATAAAAATGATTAATACTTTAAAGAAACCACAAATGGTAAATATGGGAGCATTTATTATATAATAAGACATTGAATTAATTGATTGATCATTGATTGATCGTAAACGACAATATGCTTTACACAATAGGCCGCTTGAGTTCTGGTTATTAATATAATAAAATTTTAAAATAATTTTCAATACATAATGATAAATAATTAGATAAAAACTAATTTTAATCAACTACTGTACTTACATGATATCCTTCAATTACTGTAGTCAATGGATTTACCGGTAATTTTGTCATTAAGTTAATACTACAATAAGCATTGTATAACAATTTGTCAAATATTTGATGGCTGGGAGTCATCAATGAAATACTAATCACTAAAATCACCAAAGATTTCATGTTTATTCTGATATGTTATTCTGATATTTGCAAAATATATACTAAATTCATAATAATATCTACTATTTGTTAAATAATAACATTTGCAAAATGATACAAATTTGCAATCAATTTTATGCCTCATAATAATAATTGCAGTAATCTTTGAAACAACACTTTCTACACAAACATCTCATTAATTCTATTAATAATTTATTTTAATTTTATTTAATTTAAAAAATTACATAAACATAAAAAATCTAAACAAAATCTGAGTAATATATATATTAAATAATAAAAATTACAATAATATCATAATAACTAAACTATTAATAAGTCTATTTCCAGGAGGCGTTAAGTGCTTTACGTGATGCCAACCATTTGGTGGCGTATGAAAACGCTATCAATGCAATCAATACAACTGATATCAATATAAAATCAAAATCATCTTTAAGTACATCGAATGTCTTCGATGGAGTCACTCGAGTGTAAAATAAATCTGAAATAATTTAAATGATATTGTAGTCAACATTTTGCAGTCATTCAATCAATTTAAATCAAACCTAATCCATAAGCAAACACAAGACATGTCGACTCAAGACCAGTTGGCGAAGTCTGAATGCCACGAATGGCTGTCAGTGTCTTATTGTAATTAATGATTCCTTCGGCTGGAATCGGCAACTCTGGAATGTATGGTATAAGTCCTTCTTCCATGTGTTCGGGAGTTGGTTTTAATGGTCGGCGCGGATCAATAAAGGCCTTCGGCAGCTCTAGTAATCCTCCAGATGGTAGAAATACTTAAAAATATAAACAAATAATTAAATCAGTCAATTAAAACAATATAATCAACAAAATTGAAACTCACTTAATATGTGTTTACTAGTAATACCCCTTTCTGTGACGGTATCAGCCATAACATCAATACCAGTGGGAAATATAAATGTGTTTTCTTCGACATGTGACGGCAGCAGTGGGTTGCGGGTCAGCGATGAAAAAGCACTTGAATTACTTTGATATAACCCTTCATACAACTCGACCGATGATATCTCTGTTCGTCTCGACTTTTCGTTGTAAAACGAGTACTACCGATGAAAATATACATAAAATAATTAATAGATTTATTAATGTTTTAAATAAACAAAAAAATACTAACAATAACCCAATTCTCTGAATGAACGATATGTATGGGTTGTTTGGCCCGTTTATGGACAGTTGTGTGGATAACAGAGCCAGTGATAGCATCCACCAAATAAAAGACAACAAATGCTAAAAAAAAAATATACGGTAATAATTATTCTATATATACAGTAATTATTAAATTATTTCTATTTAAAAAACTTACTTTTCTCTTGACTATCAATAGATTCGCCGACAATTGCAACTAAATTAGGATTCAAATACTTATAGAGGACATTCCTATCCCCTTTAACCCGTCCCTGTGAGTGGACATGTTCTCCATAGCGCTTAAACACAACTTGAAGACTATTGAAAGGAGTGGGTAAGTCAATACTCCACATTTGTTTTGCATTTAACTCAGTATCAGTTGAGTCTGCAAATGATAATCCTCTAAGAGAGCCACTATTGTATGAAATAAGCATAAAATAAATATCTTTATTTGTCAGAAACAATGACTTCGCTGATGAGGGATAAATGATTGGTTTGAGATTATCGTCTAATATGAGTATTGGTTTCAAATAATTACTATCCGTATGACTCAATAGCATAGTCTGTGTGACCCCCACTTCCAATTTGATCCGTTCTATTGTTTCACCGGTGATGGGATTAAATGAAAAAATATATCCATTTTTATTGATTACAGAACATTGGGCCGGAAACGGGTAATGAGCGGTCGTCCTTTGTACCAAAATCGGTAATTTGTTTTTCGCATTCAACTCATGCTTTAAATAAGGCTCATATAGAGACCAAATAACAGCACCGGTAGTCGAGTCAATACCGAATAGTTTGCCATTCTCTGCCAAAGCAATAATCACTTTGTGAAGACCAAACTTATCTCTAACTAATGGCTCGTTATTGTCATTGTCTTTGATTACAGCCGGATCGGTATTACCATCACTAAGTTCTTCATCATTGTTATCATCCACCTTACGTCGCACCGGGCGCTGAGCAAATGTTTGAACCAATTGCTTGGCTAAATTGGCAGTGAATGTCTGCAATTGATTCACTTGAGTAGAGATTCGGTGTAAAAACTGTGATAAAATGTTTGTGCCGTCAAATGTAAATGTCTGCTCAATTTTAGCATCCAATTCACTTAACGGTAAGTCCATGAACTCAGCACTACTGATACGACTGAGTGCTTCTTCCCTACGCCAGGAAGTTCTGCCCAAGAAATTCGTAATTATTAGAGTAGAGTCTTCAGTATTAATCAATATTTTGTAGATATATTTATTATCACTTCTAATAATAGGAATGATATCAAACTTATCGATAATTATGTGACCATTGAGTACAAACTGACCCGAAAGGGCTGACACTTCAGAACCGGTCTCTAAATCAAACGAAACTATTTTCATTCCAGTGGTCAGTGTAGGACTTTCCAGTGCATCCTCAGGTATTATGGGATTGGCTTTGGTCGCCAGTGAACATAAGGCCAATCGATTAGTATCGATAACAGGTGTCAGTGTTATTGCTGACACTTTAGCCAATACTTTAATTAATTCAATCTGTTTTTGATTAATACGAAGAACAACAAAACCATCGCCACCTAAATCCAAACCAAAATAAGGTTTTTCTTCTTCCTCTTGATGGGGAAGTGTTTGAAGTCTTAGATATTTTGGTTTAGTGTTAGCATTTAAACCAAAAGAAGAAAGTGGGACACCATTGAAAGCTTTGGATTCACCAACTATTAAGTATTGTAATACTAAATCCCTATCATCGACACAAATCAGGTATTTTGATGACATAAAAGCACAGGAAGTTCTTTCGGTAAACCAATTGCCGATAGATATAGGAGTCGATGATGTCTTCAGTGAATGACTTTTTAAATCAAAATTATATAATTCAAGTGAATGTTGTTTCTGATTAAACTTCGCGACCATTATCTGTGATAAATCGCTACTTAAGCTGAAGAAGAGTCGGAAATTTTCTCTGTAAATGAAATAACTTTAAAATTAATTGAATTCATAATAAATAATAATAATATTAATCAATACTCAGAGCTTTCAATTTCTTCAATGAAATCGGTTGACAAACTTTTCTCCGATATAATAACGCCGTCGAGACTCCAGCATCTGAGCCAAACGCCACCGCCATTAATGGTAAATAGAGGACAATCGCGGGCACCGGTGCTCACAAAGAGATCAATTTCCGACTCTAAGAGATGTCTCCATTGAATGGTTCCGTTGCGTATGTAAAGTGAGGTCAGGACTTGACTTTTGGTCGATAAGATGACTGATTGGTGTGTTTGCCATAAATTATCTGTCGATGACTTAATGAGTGACAGATCTTTGAGATGACCGACATATCTTGATCTCCAATCAAACTTATGGACCTGATCTTCATACAGACAGTCAACACCACTCAACACCACAAGTGATAGTATAAATAATTTAAACATATTTAATGTCCGCACCGGTAGTGCCGGTGATGTGTGTATACCATATCTTTGTCCATCACTGGTGTGACTGTCGGTGCAGTCATTTGCAGACAAATTGCCGGACATTAATCTGATTCAAGTGTTGATTACTATCGATGTCTTAATAATAATAATAATTCAAATATCAATCAATTAATACAAACACCAGTTTGTGTTGTTGTCTACAAATCAGTCAAATATATTGTTGTTGTTATTGATGTCACAACACATGTATTGCAATAATACAATCAATTTAGTCAATCATTTAATTTAATTCAATTTAATTGTGTCCCCAAAAAATTCAATGCATTTTATGTGTCAATTATAATCAAATTAATTTATAATTGATTTATAGTTTTCTAAAAAATAATTTATAGTTAAATATATTGAAAAATAGTGGAAAAAAGTCATAAATTTTGTTTAGTCAACACATTTGCAGTCAATATTGACTAATCATTTCAATTGATGGCTGATATGGTGTTCAACGCATGTCTACTAATGTGTAGTACATTGTGTACAATAAATACTGTAATTAATATTAATACAGTCAAACATCAGACTATTGATAACATACAGGTGTCACCAGTTATACATTCGGTAATACAATAATTTTAAATGAACTAGTTAATTTTGTTTAATATTTATAAGTGCTAACTTTTTGTAAGTGTTAAACTTATTTATTTATTTTTACAAACTCATCTTTTAGTGATTTTTATAAAATCAATCAAAAATTAAATTAATTATTTTTTGTCAGTATATTTATTTATGAAATTTAATAAATTTATTAATATATGCAATAATGTAAAGTCATTATTATATAGAAAATATTTAGAGATAAAAATAATATAAATTTTTTTATTATTAAATAATTTATTTTATTATTATAAAAATAATAATTAAAATATAAGTTGTTATATAAATAATATTATTTTTTTTTGTGTAAATTAGCCGATATTTGAATTATTTAGAGACGATTTTCTTGAGCTTATAATTTGTATTATTTGCAGAGTATATACAATGATTGTAATTAAAACCTATAAAAATAAATTAGATATAAATTATAATAAATATAACATTTGAATGAAAATATGAATTGAAAAAAACTGACATTTGTTAAGAATTTAGTTGAAAACGAGAATATGTTTGCAATTGTAAACCCAAACGGTATGTCTCTTCTTATTGATGATAAATATATGGCTTCTCTATAGACATCTTTATGTGCGGTTTGCAACTCAATGTCATCCAATGCAGACAATAATTGTATAGACTTTTTGTTGATCATACCATGAATAAGACAATTAATAATAAATTTTATGATATTTTCAACATTTCCTAAGAGTGTCAATGATTGCACTGATGTATTAGTCTGACCGTCGATACAGATATATATTTGTGCCAAACATCCAAACAAAGCCAAACCGTTATTACAGATCTGAACGAAACCTATTTGATTGTCGATATCATGAAAGAGGTCTCGTATTTGAACAAAACTTTTGCGTGTGTTTGAGATATTTGTAACATTTCTCAGATGACCTGTCCTTAAGATTTTGTATAGACTATTGAAATACCAATACGTGTTGATCGATACAAACCATAATATGATAGTTGGTGTCCAATTATAAATGTCCAAGTACAATCTTTCTATTAATATTAGTATCAATTTTCTAAAGGTATTTGATTTTGAACCCAATATCATAACTAAATTATCAATAATTATGCTAATAAATGATATTATTAGCTGAATAAATACAATGCTTATAAAAAGTAATAGTTTGTTGCGATTAATGGGAAATTTGAGCAATAATTTTATTATATTATAAGCACTGAATTGCAAATATAATGAATTTATTATAGTTATGATTAATTGTAATAAACGATTGGCAAATGATAGCCACATTGCCAGTGATTTTTCGTTATTTTTTACTTTGAAAATCGGATCAATCGTTGACCACAAATATACATTCAATGCAATTACAGTAATCAATATTAAATTATTTATTAAACCATATACTTTCCAACCGGTGCTAAATTGTGAAGTATTTGTTTTTGAACTGATGGTTAATCCTCCAAAAGAGATACCAAATAATCGATAGAAATATATAAGTAGTTTACCTAAAATAGATGTATACGACTGTTCCAGTGAACCCATCATAAAATCATTAAATTTTATTAGTTTTTGTTGAGAGTCGGGCAACACTTTGGCCACATTTTTCTGACCAATTTTAACACGATTTAAGTCAATGGACGGCATTTTGAATAAAAGTTCGTCGCTTTTAATGAGAAATGTTTTTCGCCGACCGGTAGTCTTCATTACCTAATATTTATTATAATATTATTAGAAATCAATTAATTATTTTTTGTTCAATTTTTTCTTACTTAACACTTAATTCAAAATTAATGACAATTTTTTAAAGACAAAAATAACATTCATTATAAATTATTTGTGTTAATTAATATTTATAAACATTATACACAGTATTTTGCATTTAAAACAAATGAGTGATAAATATAAGTTGAAATACAAAATATTTGTATTGAACTAATAAATAATAATAATATAACAATAATACTCTTCTTTACTAATGCTAACTAATGAATAATATTATGAAATGTTTTTTTTCAGAATATTCTGTTGAACTAAATATTAACAATACATATATATATAGTACATATATAGCATTCCTTATAGTATTATTATATTATTGGCACACATGAAATGCATTTGTTTTTATAATATTAATAAAAATAATAATAATAAAGCAATTTATTTTTTTATTGTAATAATTTTAATAGAAAAATACAGTATATTAAAAAAGAGTGGCAACAAGTTATTGATTTAATAATAGTTTGTAGTCTCTTATAATTTATTTTATATATACCGCATAAACTGTTTAAAATAGTATTTTATTAATATATATTTTTTCATGCAATTTATAATAGTTTTTCATTTAGTATTCAAATTGAATATTTTAATATTAATAATTTGCTTTATTTTAATAATAAAAATTTTATAGTTTTTCATAATCATAATGATACTAAATTTTATTTTAATGATAAATTATAATGCAAATGTTATGAATAAATAAATAATTATATTTCAACAGGTTTATTTAACTATCCTGGCATATAATTAAATTGATTTTTATTCTTGATAATAATTTCACTACAGTATAACAAAAATAAAATATTTAATAGTTGTTATTATAAATTATATTAAATCAATATTTAGCTGTTTATTACAAAAAAAATGAAAATTTAGAAATAAATTAGATTTTATATAAATAAATTTATATACTGTATGTATCACAAAAGTATGTATTAAAATAAATATTGTATAAATTGAAGTAAAATAGTAAATTCAGTTACAATTTGTTATCATTTATAACTTATTATTCCAATTGTCATATTTGTGATCATAAACCATGAAATCATATTGTTTTATAAATTATGAGTTTTGTCTATCTTTTTATGATTTATTATCTCATAAGTTATATAACTTCACATAATTTTTGTAACCATTAAATAAAAATCATGATATGAATTGAATTAAGTATAATAATACATGAATTGATTTCTGTCTTGACATTTATCATTAGTGGTTACAATTGTATAGGACTTTTGAAATACTGAGAAATACATTTATAATGGAAAATATAACATATTTAATATAATATTAATATTTATGAGAAATGTATTTTATATGATATAAAGTATATAAAGAAAACCTTTTTATATTCATAGAAAATATATAACTTATAGCTGAGTGTGAAGTCCATACTTAACATCAAAAAACATATGCATTCAATACTTTTGAATCAATAGTAGAGTAAATACGCTTAGAGTACACCAAAACTGTAAAGATTTCAATTAAAATATTGATTAATTACTTTTGATATTAATATCAAATATATTGTATTATAAAAATAAACTTATTATAAACAATAGTAGTTGTATTAGAAATGTATATTTTATTAAGAATATATATAATTTACTTACAATATATAGAAACACTTTATCGACTGTGAAAAATGTTGACCCAGATATTGATTTTATTTGACATTTTTGTGATATTTGTAGTAATAGTTTCCACTATAATCAAATATAAATAAATTATTAACATTATCAAATATATTTACTATAAATTTTAGACATGTATTTTCAAATATACATTTAAATTAATAAAAATATGTATATAAACCTACACTTTTATAATCAAATTCATTTAATTGGTCTAATCTAAGGTTTTTAACTTTTTCAATTGAATTCATTGCTTTATTTTTGACACAATCTCCAAAAATACATATTATACTAACAGATAGTAAAGCAATCATTAAGTTAAACACTATTATCAACTCATAATCCTCTATATCATCCTTATAGCCGATTAAGTCGATTACAATGAAAATACCAGCAAATACTGTAACAGTATTACTAAAAATAGTTATCAATAGAGCCGGCGATAAAATACAATTGATTTCTTGGACCAGTTCTTGGAGTGCCATAAAAGTGAGCCGTAATTCATCTAAATTTTCTGAATTCTTGTGCCGATTGGTAACGACATACGAGAGAGTTGTTTCAATTTGCCGGTACTTATGACTGGTCTTTACGGCTAATAAAGAGTAATACTCGTTAATAATTATTGAAATGTAAATCGTGAGACAATCAAATGCCAGTCCATGTATTGTTCCGATCCATTTAATAGCATAAAATACATACAAATAACCATAACTTATATTATGAGATATTGCCGGAGCACTTGTAGGTAAATCATTGCAAAAACTTTGTTCACTATCATTACATTCATTGTTTTTATAATCGTTATTATTATAATCAATCACTGAAATAACATTTTGAATAAATAAATACATTAGATATAAATGAATTGATGCGATCATAACATTGATGAACACTATAATCCATGCAATGATAATCAACTTTTGTTGACATTTAACACTTAGAAACAGTTTATGATTTGTTGTTAGTTCATAGTATTGAATGTAAAAGTTTTCAAACTTTTGTTGTTTCAATAATAATATTAAATTATTGGCCAAACATTTGAAACAGTCATTGAAAAATAAAATAAATGTAATAACTTCAATTGACCTGGACTCTGATAGTCGGACACTGGTCAACTTAATTTGTTGATAATCAATGTTCAATATTAGTTGACTAAAATGTATGATTACAAACACTATCATAAATACAAGACTGGCCACTGAACACAGGAAATCATATTTATAACGATTTCTCCCATAATATGACAGTCCAACCAAAGCGTGAAATTGTGTTAAAATAGTAAATATTTCGCCGGAATTACTATTTTTTATTTGAATTACATTTATATGTGACTCGAGATTTTGATCAGATTTTGTATTTGACTTAAATGTATCAAAAAATCTATGACTATTTCGATAAATAATATTATTATTACTATTTTGAAATTCACTTTTTAAATATGAAGGAAACATGTTTTATATCTTTTAAATAATAAATAAATAAATAATTTAGTTTATAAGTCAATGCTTTTTATAGTACAGTACTTGTCATTTCTCATATATTGGTTTGATTACTATTTTTTAAGATGACTTCCTATTTAATCTTTAATTTGCAAATTGAAATCAATAACAACTATACTGTACTTATTTAACTTAATTGAAAGTAAAAATATGCATTTATGTCATACAATTACATAATAACAATATATTAATTTATTAGTGTATAAAGTATTTCAAACAATTTTAGATTAATTAATTTTCCAATTGTATCTAATAATTTCAAAAGTAATTGAACCCAAAATAATGATTATTAATTGAGTATAAAAATAATAAAATATTAATTGTAAATAAAATTGTAGTATTAATTAAATATTCTATAATTAAATGTTATAATTATGTTTATCATAATCAATGCAACAAATTCATTATAATTTATCATTTTCATAATTGTTTTATGTAAAAAATATTTATCAACACAAATACTTAATATTATTTATTTTTACTTTACAAAAATAATCTGTCATAATTTGATTAATTGAAACTAATAAATAAATGTGGTACAGTATTATTGATTATTGAGTATACAATCAGTGTTGACAAAAAATAAATTTCTAGAAAGTTTCTAAAAGAAATTTCTGTCTATGGGATCTCCCATGTTAATTTGGTTATCTTAATATTTGTCATTTTGTAAGAAAACATTATAATCACAAATAATAACTAAATTTTTACAATATAACAATTAATAGTAGTTTAATAATATTGAAAGTAAAAATATGAATTTATTACATTGAACTAAAAATATAATTAATCGATAAATAATATTTTACAAATTCATAATTATAATTAGATATTATAATCAAATTAATTTTATATATAGGGATCTCATACGTATAGTAGAGTAGTGTACAGTATATCATGTCTAATACCTGTATAGTACTACAATAGCTATAAAATATGGTGATCCCATAGTGATAAAATTTGTATAGAAATTTATTAGAAATTTTCTCGAGAAAATTTATTAAAAATTTCTATTTGCTCATCTTTATATACAATATACAGTAATATATCTAAATAATATAGTAAGTTGCAAAATACAATTATAGTAAATTATATAATTTTATAAAAATGTGAATAAGTAATACTCCAAACTCCAAACTTATACATTTAAAATTTATAAATTATTTATTTTTGATTATTTTTGTAATTTATATTTTAAGATATTTGTTTTACATTTAAATAGAACTTTTTCAAATAAAGTTTCCAGATAAAATTTACAGTTAATGAAAAATAATTAAATAATTTTTAATTGTAATAAGTATTATTTTTATTATTAAATAGTTATATAAAAAATAATTTGTTAATTAATGAATATAAGCTGAAAATGAATGTATTAATTTTAAAAAAATTAAATTAAATTAAAACATTTTTATTTAGTTTTTACTCTCTGATGACATTTAATACAATATTTCTATTTATAAGTTAATCAATATCCATTATAATGACGTCAATTATTTTTATAAAAGTATAGACAAAATCAAAATGATTTAAAGAAAATTGTTTATTTCTTTAGAATTAAAATTATTTTTCATGCATATAATAAAATTAATTTATATAATATAGTCTAGACATGTTAAACATAGATTTAACATGCATGATTTGTTAAAATTATATAATTTATTTAATGCTAAATGATGTGCTTTATTAATATCAATCTAAATACTAAATCAATTTGTATAAAATATTAATTTACAGCAACATTGCATAAAACCAGTAGTATATCTTGCTATTCAGCGTACATTATAATAAAATTTAGATTAATATATAAAAGTTAATAAAAGATTGAAAAAAATATTAGTAGTATTATTATATAAAAACGACTTATATTTTATATTTGACATTAAATTTAATATTAAAATATAATTTATTACATAATATCACAGTAGTGTACAAAAAATAAGTCAATCATTTTCTATTGTTATGTTTATTTTTCAAATAATAAAGTTATATTACATCTAATAATTTTGTTTTTATAAAACATAAATTCAATTTTACAAACAAATTGAATATATTTTTCTACTACTAATACTAAACTATCATTAGTTATAATAGAGAAAAATATTTTGAAATAAAATTTAAAAGTAATTAAATAAGTGTTTTAATTAATAACTAATATCAATAAACAATTTAAAATATTTTACGATGAATTACATTTGATTTATTTATTCAAACGATGGTTCACTCAACAAGTAATGTGGAGTTATTTAGTGTTAGACCGTATGAGTTGGGCTACAATTTGAAGACCAGACCCAACGTATCGGTGACGGCCAGAGACGAGACACAGATGATAGGGTTTAACGTGATTTGCGTTTTTCATCAATTGATTGGTTTACCCTATTATGGTATAAAATCAACTTTTAATGTGTTTAGGAGTTTTATTGGCATTGCCTGTAGTCTACTATTTATTGCAATATTTATTGGTAAGCAAAAAACTAATGCTACTCTATATTTAATTGATTACATAAAAAAGTTACTAAATTACCTAAAGATATAAACAATTATAAAAATGTTGTTTTAATTTATTCAAATGATAGCCTCATTGATACCCTGTATGTTGATATGTGATAAAGAAAATGCATTGAGATATAAGAGTAGTCGACTTAACCGGTCTCAATCGGCTTGTATTGTAGAGATTATATTGCTTGCCATTGAGGCCTATCATACTATTGATAATGATTTGGGTCTCTTGTATGCCAGGCATGAGTTTCAACACTTTTATAAATTTTTGACAGATTTTGTATCGAAGCAGAAGTTAGTTCTTAACTATAAAATGAAACGCCGGCTACTGTTGACCGCTTGGGGTCTCGTCTTTCTAAACATAATTTATGCCATTCTTGAGATTATCTTATTATATCCCATCATTAATGAGGCCATCAATGAGCAATCCATTCCTCAAAAGGCATACATTACTGTACCAAAAAAGGTCGCCCTTTGTATTACTATTGCTATCAAGACTATCGGTTCCGTACATTCAAAAGCGTTGGACACTTTAATCATATATTTTACACTTTTGATAACCTATTATATCGTAACGTTTGGCGAAGTCGTCAAAGAGGTGTGCAATTACTTTGATTATCTCGACTGTCATCGAAATAATAGCACTAATAATAACAACAATAGTATCAAAAATATAAAAAATTATCGATCTTTCGATGATTTGCGACTAACATATATATCACTACAAGAATTAACAATAAAAGCAGACAATTGTCTTTCGCCTTGTATTTTGTTGACTACAATGTGTAATGTTATTGCTATTATGGGAGGAATATTTATAGGGATAGACATATTTGGCCAGGGAGCTAAAATTGAGGCAGACGAGGCATTTGACCTGTTCAATGCACTGGTATGCGCGGCATCCATATTTGTTTGGTAATTATGTTATTAAATTTTAATCAAATTGATTATATTGTCATAAAATATTGTTTTTAAAAAATTATTTTCTATGAAAAAGTGGTACATTTGGTGAAGACATCATAAAGCAAACACAAAATGCTTTACGACATCTCCAGAGAATATCTTTCACTAAAATTGATGATAAAGACTATAGAAGTGTATGTCATTTAATTTATTAATATAAATATTTATTAATTGTAAGTTTACTTAATATTATTTTTTAAAAATAATTAACTATAAATGATTTAATTTTATTTCAACATTAACTTTTAGAATATTTATAATTTAATTAATATTATAATACTTTGAAATACTAAAAAATTAATCTATATTAAAAATTATTTAATATTTAGTAATTATTTTTAAACTATGTAATTAAAAAAATAATAATTTTAAATTTTATTATAGATTAAATCAATGATTGATTTAATGGAGGAAACAAAAATCAATTGTTTCACTGGTACAGGATTTTTTAAACTTAATAAACACTTTTTATATCAAGTTTGTATATTAAAAAATATTTGATTAAATATAAGTTAAAATTTATAAATTAATAATTTTATATTTTATTTAATTAAATTATGTAATAATTAATCTTTAACATTTTTCATGTACTAAAGTTTTAATGTGTTATATAAATTATTTTATAAGTTTAAGTAATATTTTATTATATAGTTTTATTATATAGTAAAATCAATTTTATGTTTACATTTTAATCTCAATGATATCAGTATAATATAATATACCGCATATAGTGTTTTTTAAATTACAAATTTATATTTTCTTTTTTTACTATAAAAAATGACTTAATTATTACTGATCTAACTTTTAATATTTTTTTATATTTATTGCTATTGTAAAATCACTTTTATTTAATAGTTTGTAATTATAATGCATATTAAATTATCAGTTTATTTTTTCATTATATTATATTTATTTCTAAACGTTACTAATCTAATTTAAGAAATGTTGTCTATTTTCAAATGTTTAATTGTAGAAATTAAGAAAAAATTAGATTCAAAAAAATTTAATCTAAGCAATAATTTTCAAAAAATACATTTAGTTAAATAATTAAGTACTGTAATGAATATTTGTTTAAAAATTATTTTTAATTCAAATTATTATTTATTTATTACAGCTCTGGTCTATAATTATTCCGTACGCAATCCTATTAAGTCAAAAATATTAAATCTCAAATCAAAAGTCAATTTGATAACTGGAATATAATTTATAATATTATAAATATTGTATATAAAATAAAAATTAATTATTTAAAATAAATCATTAAATATATAATATTTAATTAAAAAAATATAATTTATGTATTCAATATTTAAATTAATCTATTTATTAAAACCAATATGTTAAATAAAAAATAGATATCGGTTAATTCAATAAACAATTTTAGTGACAAATTTAGCATAATTTGCAAATAATAAACATTATACTTATTGTTACTAACCCAGGTAAAATAGTACCTGTACTACAAATTCAGTATAAGACAAATGACTTTTAAAAAGGAGGGCTTGTCTTGTGAAGGGAATGGTGTACTTTAAAGGCTGTCCCCCAGGTAATTATGAATACAGTATGTATTATATGCAAAATGTTTAGGTTTATGTGACAAATAGGTTTGGACAGTGATATGTGAAAGAAAAAAAAGTTAGAATCACTATTAGGGTTTCATTTCTCACTTATGGTGATTGAGAGGCATAAGCATTGATTTGGGTGTAATAGTTTGAGTAGAAAATTGTGATATAAATATAACACATATACTGTATATATATATATACACAATAAAATCTCAATTGTGTTATTCACAACTACTGGGTATTGGTTTGGTGAACACCTGGTTTTTCAATGCACTGGAAAATAGATAGACGGGTATATATCGTACAGTACTGGTATATATACTGTATATATATATATTGATAGTATTTAAAGTGTATACAATTTTTATACAATAGAGACTGAGTTGGGAGTCCTTGATGTTCAATGAATAGGTGTTGGACTGACTGTTGGGCCACTTAGCCAGCAGTTAGTGAGTGACTGCCCTTTTACGGTCTTCAAAGTCAATTTTGTGATGTTATTGTCACCTCAAATAATAACACCATATATACAATATATACAATATATATAGTGCTAACATTTTTCTTTCAACTAATAATACACTTATATTCAGTGCCTTCAGTGCGGAAAATTTGGTCCGTATTTTGCTATTTGAAAAGTCCAACCAAAAGGAAAGGGCTTTTGGAAACACACATACAGTACGTACAAACACACACACACATACACACACACACACATATATATATATATAYATATATATATATATACAATCTGTTCTCTGGTTTCTTCGTCACATATACTGGTATATTATGTTTCCGACACACATTAATATATCACTGGTGAGAGTTCAACCATTTAGGCCATTGAAAAGTCGGTACCAAAAAATGTTATGAATCTCTCTAACTTACTCTCTCTCTCTCTCTCTCTCTCTCACACACACACACACACACACACACACACACACACACACATACACACACACACACACACACACACACATACACACATACATACATACACAGTATAAAGTCAGAGAAATGGCTAATTTGGTTAACAATTGAGTATAACTACAACTACAACACTACCTGTAAGAGAGTGCATAACATTTCTGTGAAACACTCCTCGAAGAACTACTGGGAGACTGTATTTAAAAATAGGTTGACTCACTCTCTTATAATGTCTCTTATATGACTTAACTGCCGGTGAAAACTACTACTCAATTACCCTATCAATAGATGGGTACCAAAAAACATGGTATAGCTGTAAAATTTTATAAAGTCTAATATAACATATATTATCATAAACTTTGGATTTATTTCCTTTCAAATAATAAATGAGAGACTAATCGCACATTTCTCACGAATTCACTCGCATTACAATAGTTTTATACATATTAGACTAATAACAATAATAATACTGTAGTACTAATCATAAATTTTAGTCAAAATTCAATAAAAAATTTATTATTATATTATATTTTAAAAATATTTTTGCTTTTATATAGCAAAAATAATTTTACAAAATAAATATCCAATAAAATATCATAGTAAACTAATTTAATCTCTAACATTTTAATCATTAGTATTTTATTTGATAATTTAATTATATTTTATACTGTAATTCACTTCTATCTACATAATATTTAAAGTAAAATTGTTAATTTAAAATAAAACAATAACATTTTATTTACTTAAACTAAATAATTAATTATTATTATTATAAATACATATACTTTTGAAGTCATAAAACATATTTGTACTTAATATCTATAATTGTATAAATTATATGATCATCCGGTGCTTCTTTTAACAATAACCTACAGATTGTATAGAATTATACAATAGGACCCGAAACTAGTTATGTCTGGTTTACTTTAAAAAAAAACCGGAACCGAAAAAGTTTTAGAATCGGTTAAGTATATAAAAGTATTTATATAAATAAAAAAATATTTATATATAAAGTATTTAATAATACTGTGCATAATATATTAAATGTTAAATATTATCAATTTGATAACAATACTATGATTAATATTTACAGTATATTAATAGATTTGGTTCTTAAAAAAATGCTTTCCTTTCCTAACCTATTATACAGTATGTGTAGATCGCAAACAACTTTTATGTCAGTTTGTCGTGTGTTTATCGTTCAGATTTACAGCAATTATGAGACACACAGTGTATATATATATATATGTGTGTGTGTATGTATGTGTGTGTGTATGTATGTGTGTGTATGTATATATGTGTGTGTATGTATATATGTGTGTGTTCATCGTGTAGATTGAGAGGGCGAGAGTGTTATGCCATGTATTTAGTAATTGGATATAATATCGTTGGTTATGATGGATGAGCTGCTGTTTAGCAGTGTTTACTATATAGTGAGCACTATAATCCACGAGAGATACCATAGTCTTGATGTATATCATAGAGAAGCAAATTGTTGAACACATTTGAGTAAAATTCGTTTCAATGTTTGCAGATCCAGAATATTCTCTACTATTTTATGTGTAATGCAGATGTTTTTTCCGGTAAATTATTTGTTGATAAATTTTTTGTGTGTTGTTTACATATAAATGTTTATTAGGGACACTCTTTAATATATTTTCCTGTAGTACTCTAATTACACATTTATCTTAATCTGTTTGTATTTTTCTCACCAACATACTGTCTGATACTGTCCCACATATTGTATACGACTGTCCAATTGGTTTGAGTAACTTTACAATTCACATCACAAACCAGCAGGTGTTGGGTCTGTAAATTAAAATGTATTGATTTTAACTGCGGGTTTACTCTTTATTATTGAAATTCAATTATTGGTCATTATATATATATATCCAATTTAATTGTGTTTATTCATAAGCTTTTATCATATTATATAAATATAAACTGATTAACTACACAATAACTAACTTATAACCAAACTATAAAACTAAGTTATTTTCAATCGATTATAAAGTGATAACAAAAACCGAAACAAAATTTTCTGAGTGCAGTACTTATAATATTTGGCCAAAAATATGACATTATATGACAACATATCTACTCATAAATATTTTGGATGATATGAGAGCTCAAGTCTTTCATATTGTATTGTATTATAAAAACTATTTTCATTATTCATTTATTGTTACAGTAAGTGTCAGTGCAAACAATAATAATATCGATTTCTGAAGAGCACTGGTAGTCAACAGCCTTACAAACTGTCAACTATTGCACACCAGGAATGTGGTGATGAAGAGTGCAATGGAGAAGCAGAGCAAAGAGTAGACCCCAACAGTTCACCACTCGGTAAGGGGTCGCTCACTAACTGGCATTCAATTGATAAGTCGACAACACATTTGCCGGACCCATGAATAGGAAGAGGATCGGGTGTTGAGTGACTTCTATACAATAGTAAGTTACTCGTCCTAATGGGGACGGTATGGGATTACATGAAATACGATGAACTGTCAAACCTATTAGACTGGAGTGATATTATTGAACAAATATGAGATACTCTTTTACAGATGAAAATATAATGGCATTAAAATACTTGACCACCAGTACCAGTGCCATTGACACAGGTATTCCATACGACCACACACACTGTCAATCGCATTGACAATCAATTGTTGCGATGCCTAACATGCCATGGATGAACAGTTAGCACATAGCATGAGAATCCAGGTGCGCTTACTTACAATTAGGTACAGTCAGCTTATTATGTTGTATACCTATTTGTGTCTATGAAATCAGGAATTCTGTACACTTTATGTCCATTTATTGATAGGTAAGGTTTGGTTTGGTTTGGTTTGGTTTGGTTTGGCAAACATAGAAAACAACATAAACGAAAAATTGCCAAAAATTATAATCAGAAAAAGGGATAGACATTCAAATAGAAAAATGTTAAAAATGTTTATTAAAAATTTACTGTATTTACCATTTTAACTGCATTTCTATATGAGTGAGTGAGTGAGTGAATGAGTGAGTGAGTGAATGAGTGAGTGAGTGAGTGAGTGAGTGAGTGAGTGAGTGAGTGAGTGAGTGTGAGTGAGTGAGTGAGTGAGTGAGTGAGTGAGTGAGTGAGTGAGTGAGTGAGTGAGTGAGTGAGTGAGTGAGTGAGTGAGTGAGTGAGTGAGTGAGTGAGTGAGTGAGTGAGTGAGTGTATCTGTATGTATGTGATGTTACAACTTGTATGGCCAACCATTACGGTATGATTACGTAGAAACAGCTGGTCTTATAGTAAATCCCTTGTTATCAATCAGTCAAAATGGTATGACTGTTAAGCCCTGTTGGGACATACAGATGAAGTTATAGTTGTGCTGTTTTTGTGGTAACATTTGTTTTTGTTGAGATCTTTCCTCATTCATAACCTTATTTCACTGCATGTATTAATATGAGTGCAGTAGTTATTGGGCACTAAATTGTTGGTCACATTCAGCAGTCAATACATAACATATACTACACTTTACTGTTGCTATAAATTGATAGTCGAGTTAAAGTCAACTCATGGCTTATAACTGCCTTAAACTGCGGTTACCATAACTGACTAACAATAATCATGTGTTTTGTCTATTGTTATGCAAATCATTACTCACTTGATTTGATACTCTTCCAGATTATTGTAATATACCATTGA